GATCCAGCATTTTGGCCCTGATCTCCTCCAGTTTGCTGTTGAACTGCTCCACTACATTATATTCTCTGACAGATGCCATGATGAGCTGCAAAACCAAACCAGCAAGACAGTGACAATTACTTACAATAGACCGACTGGGAATTCTATTTATTTTGTTGCTTTAATTACTTGCATCTGCCTAATGATACTGGCAAGACACTACAGCGCAACAGTTATTTATTTACTTATGTTTTAAAGAGGACCAATTATGTAAAAATCACAGTTTAAACACAGTTGTGCGGTAACAGTCTATGAATATAAGGGCCATTCTTCAACTACAGGCACGTTTAGCCTTGTGAAGTTGAGTAAAAAAAAAAAAAAACTTGTTCAAAATTAACGTAACTTAAGTTTAAACAATTTGTCTAGTTTTAAGAACTGTAAGAGGACAAACTTAGCTTAACTTAACTGAAACTTTTTTCCATTGTGAACTGAATAAATGTCAATTCCACCACATCTCAATATACAGCTTATTTCAAAATGAAATACATTATGGCAGTCAAACATTGTCGAAGATCTTTTTTTTAATCTAGTTTAACCAATCTTTCCACAATATATATAATAATTATGCATTTGTCAATCAAATTAATTAGTTGTATGCTGAATTGTACACCTGTCACACTCTAAAATGTAATATTAATTTGGTTAAGAGTTTATTAGGCCATAAATAAACAAATAAATAGAGCATGAACATACATTGTGAATACACTTTTAATGTGTGATGACAACTTTTTCAATATTTTTTTTTATTGTGTGTGGTGATGGAAACGACAGTGACATTTCAACAGTTTATTGTGAAAAAATTAAAAATAGCTTCAGCGATTAGCTTTGAATTGATACTAGCCTTTCATGTATAAAAAAACACTCTTATTAACCTTAATTTTGTTTGGTTTTTAAAAACACCTTTGAAGGTACAACATGTTTGGAAATGACGTAGAATAAATGTATTTCCTTATCCAGCATTATTTACTGTGATTTTTCTTCAAGTGTGTGAAAATTTTAAATCCCACCATCTTGAACATGTTCTCAGGTGACACCATTCATTTTCACAGACACCACCTAAATAATTTTTCACACAAACATCTAAACATCATTACAGTGTTGTGGTGGAAATAACACTGATACGGTGTGACAGCTATATTTTGTATAAAAACTATTATTGATAATAGTCTCTCATTAATAATTATGAAATATTTAACTTATTTCACTGGTGCTTAATTAAGACACATTAATAGATACCAGATAAATAATATTTTAAAATGTTATTTTCATTGTTAAAGTTTAAAACTCCGGGTGTGCGACAGGGTGAAAACAGTGATTTTGACACCTAAAATGAGGTTGAATAATATGAAAAATATATTAGAAAGCTAGTACATTTTTTACAAGTAGGTTTTATTGTTAGTTTGACAAAGAAAGAGACATTTGAACCAAATTATATATATATATATATATATATATATATATATATATATATATATATATATATATATATATATATATATATATATATTAGGATATATAATCATTTGGATATATAATCAAAGGACATAAAAGTGCCATAGTTGAAGAATTACCCATAAACAATTTCTAATGGTTATAATTGATACATTGTATTTTTTTTAGAACCACACTTGATAAAAACAGTCTGCAGAAACACTTTGATCAACTTTCTCCCTTTGTACGTGTCATCAGGTTTTGCAGTTGGCACATAATGTGTATACGGCTTATTATTACACATTATCTACTCTAGTCTACTGTAATACAACAACATAGTAGTATACATAGAAAATACAACATTATAGGTTTTAACAATACTCATGTAACGTAATAACGAAAACAGTACAAAATTGAGGTAATGTTGGATTTATATTCGCACATTCGCTAATTTTAAGGGCTCCTATATTGTTTACCACGCTAATTCGGTCTGAAACCGTCTGAAACCACATGTAAATACGACTTGAAAACAACATTAGCACTGTTTAATTGACTGTATTGTCAAACAGCGTTTTACTTTAATAGTATTTGGCTGCTGATATTATTTTAACTATTTACTTTCTGAAATGATATTATTAAGGATAAAGTCTGAATGTGTAAACATAACACCAACTTTACCTCAATCAGTATAACGTTACAGTTGCTGTCATTATAACATCATGTAACGTTAAGTCACTGCAGCAGTTATTCGGTGCGATCTGATTTTATTTTCTCTCTTCTTTTTAGCCCTAAAAGCTAGAAAGCACAGCTTTAATGATGTTTTAAGTGTCGTGAAGGACATTGAAACCACTTACCTGTTTTGTGAAGTAAAAATAGTCACAAGTTTGCTCTTGTTGTTTTCAAAAATCGGCGCCTGGATCCTTAGCAGTTACACCGGAAATGGCGTCACACAAGCGCGCCGTCTCATCTACAAAATAGCGGCACGAAAAGATTGTGGTTAAACTATCAAAATAAGACCAAATACGGTTAATTTAGCATTCTGAAGTGTGTATTTATATGAGTATTTAATGATTATGTAGATGATATGTGGTTGTTTATTTCTCCTCATTTTGTAGTAATGCTACGCCATCTGGTGTTTGAGCAGCATTACGTAACGTTATGTTTCCTGAGGGACATTCATATATTAGTAAAACACAAATCGGAGACATGAAGAAACCTTAAAAAAAAAAAAGTTTATATATCACTTTATTAAATGTCGCGAAGTCTAAGTTGATTAACGTTAATGTCTTTAATATTTACCTTACATTTAAGGTAAACCTTTCCTTACATTTACATTGACTACAACTGTTGTCTTTGATAACCTAAAATACAACAAATATGCAGTTTTGAATTTATGGCTAAGACAAAATATAAAATACGATTCTAAATAAAATATAAAATATTAAAATATAAATCACCACCATTATTGGAGTGTTTTCTTCTAATGTTATTCTTTGATGCGATATGTTAAAACAGTCATAGCCTACTTATTATGCAGCCCTTTACTGTTTGCTGTCATGTGGTCTTTCTGCTACAAACTCTCATCTAAAATGTATCAAGCATTTAGTTAAACCAGTTTTAAAAGCATTTTTTTTTGACTTTTCTTTTTAACCAAATACATTTTGTCTCAAAAATTGCCTTATTGGCAGCTTTGTGACTATATAGCACTGTAAAAACGCTGAGTTCCACAAATCCTTCTTGATGTCCCAACACAAATCGATTAAGTTGACCTAATCTTTTTACAAATTTAAGTGGATTGAACATAAAACAGTTAAGTTGTATCCCTAATTTAACTTAAAGGTGCTGTATGTAAGTTTTTTGACTCTTCTAAAGCATAAAATACCATAATATGTTTGCAGATAATTAAGAAATAGTGAACATTCTTGTTTATCTGAAAATCAACGCTGGAGTCAGATATTCTGCTTTTAAAATCTGTTTTCCGTGACAGAACGGCTGTCTTTGTAGTGGAAATTTACCCACCCACTGCTAGTTTAGCCAATTATATTTGAGCACCCGGGTTACGTTGCTGGAAAACAGCGTATTTCATTCATTCCTTCAGTTAGAAAGGCTCTCAAAGTAGGCATCCATGACCGAAATGCGAACTCTGGTGGACAGTAGCAAACTCCGAAATGAGACGCAGATTCAGAGTTCCACATGAGGTTATTAATTAGCAAATAATATAAATATTACCAACGTAAACATTAGGAGAGCAGGTTACATTGTAGCCTAACCCCGTGTCCTAACAACACATTACGTGACAAGATTTGCAGTGATAAGCAATTTGCAAATATGACAGAAATTTTAATACAGCTATTCAGAAGCACAGAATATGCAATCACTCATGAAATGGTAAGGTTTATATTCTACTTAATACATATTAACCCAGTTTAACATTATTAAATGTACATACTGAATCACTGATATGTGTTTAGTGTAAAGTTCAATCTCAAACTGTTTATTTCATTTTCCAGATCTAAGGTGAAATATCTGCTGCTGCTTTCAGTAGTTGGCAATAAAGGTCATGTAAAATGGCCTTCAAACTCACATTATTAGCATTTAACACCGACATAAACAAATGAGGTGTGCTATTCTGTTGTTCAGCTGCAAGAAATAGAAGCCGTTTCTAATATATCAATTCGAGGTGTTGGTTAAGACAAAACTCCTTTTAATATAGAAAATATTCCTTCAATTGCATGCTGTTGCTTTTATATAGAACACGGTTTAAATCACTCACTCTTGTCCTCAATCTGGCAACCTGCGGTTGTGTTTGTTTTGATCAAGGATTGCAATACTTAGTTCAACCACTGGATGTCAGACTTATATACTACACCTTTAAGAATTGTGTTGTTTCAACTCATTTTAAATTAGTAGTTTAAACAAGCAGCAAAAGTCTTTTTTTATGAGTATTGCTCAGAGTCAGGGTTAATTAATCCTAAAATAAAATACATTTATATGATAAAATGTAGATTTTCTAATTTTCTTTTAGTGTACATTGAAGTAACTAAATATAACTAAACTTAAATAAAAATGATCATGAAATGTACACTTAAAAATCTAAATAAAAATATGACCAAAAAAATGACAAAATAAAATTAATTTTCTTTATTTTCAAAATATTTTTCAAAAAAATCCATGTTTATAGGCTCTTACAACGTATAAAATGTCAGAGTAAGTTTTTTTTTACAGTTATACAGTACAAATTTTATACAATACAAAAGTTTTTACAATATCTCATAACTCTGACTTTGCCTTAGCTTGCATCTTAATTCTGACTTTATTTCTAAGAGTTTGCGAGTTTACAGGCTATCGCGTTTCTGTGGAGAAAAAGTCTAAACTGCGAGATTTAAATGTATAATTCTGAGGAAAATAATTAGTTAGTTTTTCTTGCAATAAGCTCACACGCCTGACGAGAACAAAACCTGAACAGTCTGAAGAGCAAACATCAAATATGCAGTATGTGCATTACAAAAGCTAGTAGGTGATCAGTGTTACTCTCACTTCATATAATTTAATTCACAGATCTTTTTTTATGCTTTATAATTTCAGCTAATTTTATGAGCATTCAAAATCAATATGTGCAATATGATCATCAAACCATTTGCAAAGCAACACACACACACACACACACACACACACACAAAGAGCAAACACATAGCACAGCAATGACTGAGCACAAACATATCAGTGTGTTGATATGCTTTCAAAAATAATGTGCAAAACAATTGTCAAACCATTTGCAAAGTGACAAGCACACACACACACACACACACACACGCTCAAACACACAATAATAGCAAACACATGGCACAGCGATGATGACTAAGCACAAACATATCAGTGATTAAGGACATGTTATCAGTGTCATACTATTGCTGCTATAGTTCAAGGCCATCATATCTGCAGCTACTAAGTAGAAAACTGTAGAAGAAGTCAAATCTCCATTACCCTTTAGTCATTTGCTTCATTTCTTTAGGTATAAATTAAACACACACAGTGAAAAATACAGCCAAGGTATAATAAAAGTCCACTTATCAATAAATACACATAAAGGCACACACTTCAACCATTCCTGTGTTATCTCTACATCATCACAGCATCCCGACTAAATCAGATTATCCAGCATTGGCTCTATAAATGGCATGAGTTTGAGGCGGGACAATTTGCTTATCTGAATGTTAACTAATAGGAGCCCCTGTGGTAACCAGTTTATAATATGCGGCTTTCTTGGCCATGAGCTCGTCGTGTGTGCCTTTCTCGATGACCTCGCCCTGTGACATCACTGCGATGATGTCGGCACTCTGGATGGTGGAGAGTCTGTGAGCGATGACGATACACGTGCGTCCCTGACGGGCCTCGTCCAGCGCTGCCTGAACCGTCTGAGGAGAGAACAGCAGACAGACAAATTTAGCTGAGGTCAAAATGATTCGCCCTCCTGTGAATTTATTTTTCAATTCGATTCAATTCAATTCAATTCAATTCAATTCAGCTTTATTTGTATAGTGCTTTTACAATGTAGATTGTGTAAAAGCAGCTTCACGTACATGGTCATAGTAACTGGAAGTATTCAAATATCTCCCAAATGATGTTTAACAGAGCAATTTTCACAGTATTTCTTATAGGGATTGATCGGCCGGTGATAGGTATCGGCCAATAATCACATTTCATGACTCGATCGGTACTCGCTAATCTCGGCGATCTCATGACCCGATTGTTTGCTTATGAGTTTACTAGCAGAGGTACGGCGGCCGGGAAGTGCAAAACAACATTACAAAGTGTGAAACGCTTTTACGAAACTCGAGACAAATTTACATTTTGAAAAACATTTTTACTCATCAAAAGACACAATTTTATAGGAAAAACAATTTTACCAAGGACGAAACAAATTTACATTTTAGAAAAAAAAATAACAAGATGCAAAACACTTTTACCAGTCCAGAAACAAATGTACAATAACAGATTCTTTACGGAAAGAGAATGTACCACACAATGGAACTGACGCTGTGAAAAGTGTTGTTGCCGTTGGTGGTGAGTGTGGTAAATTCGTGTTGTAGAGTGCAGTGCATCTGGAAAGTATTCATAGCACTTGACTTTTTACACATTTTTTATGTTACAGTCTTATTCCAAAATGGATCAAATTCATTTATTTCCTCAACATCCTCCACACAAATAATGACAATGTGAAAAAAAGAGTTTTTGAAAATGTTGCAAATTTATTAAAAATAAAAAACCCTGAGGAAAAAAATAATAATAATAAAAATCGCATGTACAGAAGTATTGACAGCCTTTGCCGTAAAGCTCTAAATTGAGCTCAGGTACATTCTGTTTCTATTGATCATTCTTGAAATCTTTCAGCAGCTTAATTGGAGTTCCCCTGTGGTATACTCAGTTAATTGGATATGACTTGAAAAGGCGTACACCTGTCTATATAAGGGCCCAGGGTTGACAGTGCATGTCAAAGCACAAACCAAGCATGAAGACAAAGGAATTGTCTGTAGACCTCTGAGACAGGATTGTCATGAGCACAAGGCTGGGAAAGGTTACAGAAAAATTTCTGCTGCTCTGAAAGTTCCAATGAGCACAGTGGCCCCCATCATTCGCAAGTGGAAGATGTTTGGAACTACCAGGACTTTTCCAAGAGCTGGCCGGTCATTTAACTGAGTGATTATGGGAGAAAACCCTTAATCAGAGAGGTATTCAATAACCTGATGATCACTCTTTCTGATCAGTTTCAATCTTCTGTGGAGAGAGGAGAAGCTTACAGTAGGACAACCATCTGTGCAGAAATCCACCAATCAGGCCTGTATGGTAGAGTGGCCAAACAGAAGCCAATCAGCATCTGAAGGACTCTCGGACCATAAGAAACAAAATTCTCTGGTCTGATGAGACTAAAATTGAACTCTTTGGAGTGAATGCCAGGCATTACGTTTGGAGAAAACCAGGCACCACTCATCACCAGGCTAAAACCATCCCTACAATGAAGCATGGTGGTGGCAGCATCATGCTGTCGGGATGTTTTTCAGCAGCAGGAAAGATGAATGCAGCAATGTACAGAAACATCCTGAATGAAAACCTGCTTCAGAGTGCTCTTGACCTCAGACTGGGGCGACGGGTCATTTACCAACAGGACAATGACCCAAAGCACAAAGCCAAAATATCAATGAAGTGGCTTCACAACAACTTGGTCAATGTCATTGAGTGGCCCAGCCAGAGCCTAGACCTAAATCCCATTGAACATCTGTGGAGAGATCTGAAAATGGCTGTACACCGTCGCTTCCCATCCAACCTGATAGAGCTTGAGAGGTCCTGCAAAGAGGAATGGGCAAAAATTCCCAAAGACAGGTGTACCAAGCTTGTGGCATCTTATTCAACAAGACTTGAGGCTGTAATTGCTGCCAAAGGTGCATCAACAAAATATTGAGCAAAGGCTGTGAATACTTCTGTACATGTGATTTTTTTTTTAGAGTTTTTATTTTTAATAAATTTGCAACAATTTCAAAAACTCTTTGTTCACATTGTCTTTATGGGGTATTGCGAGTAGAATGTTGAGAAAATAAATTAATTTTAATCCATTTTGGAATAAGGCTGTAACAAAAAAAAATGTGGAACAAGTGAAGCGCTATTAATACTTTCAGGCTGCACTGTAAATCTTCTAAATGCAAATTTGGTCACTGTTTTGGAGAACACTAGACTATAATGATACAAACTTACTGATACTAATTCATTCATTAATTTTTTTCGGCTTAGTCCCTTTATTAATCCGTGGTCGCCACAGTGGAACGAACCGCCAACTTATCCAGCATATTTTTACACAGCGGATGCCCTTCAAGTTGCAACCCATCTATGGGAAACATCCAGAGTGTGAATATACTCATTCACTACGAACAATTTAGCCTACCCAATTCACCTGTACCACATGTCATTGGACTGTGGGGGAAACCGGAGCATACGGAGGAAAAACTGTGCCACTTACTGATACTAATATCTAAAAAAAATATATTTTAATTTCACAGGACTTAAGCCTTTATAGGACAATCATTGAAAAAGACCCTGATGTGTTACTGGGGTTGATTATTAAAAAATTAATAAAAATGTCAGAATTATGGGATGGTAATTCCGAGTTTATACCAAGCAATTGTGATGACATTCTGAGAAGACAAATCTGAATTTGAAAAAGTACAATTAAAATTGTGAGAAAGAAAATAAGATCAGATCAAAAATTTTTATTTACTTTTTTCAACTTGTATACAATTTTGCATCTGACACTCCTACAATTGCAAATGAAACAAGATCACCTGTCCTTTAGAACCCAAAAGAAGGTTTGCACGTGTACAAACTATGGATCTGGTCTCATGTTTGCAGGAAATTAAACTCTGGATTATAAACACATTTGCATTCACCCTGGATATTGTTTTACCTTTTCGCTTTCAGTATCGAGTGCAGACGTGGCCTCATCCAGCAGCAGGATTTTGGGGTTTCTGACGATGGCTCGGGCAATCGCTATTCGCTGTTTCTGTCCACGAGACAGCTGAGAGCCCTGAGCACCAACCTGAGTCTCGTATTTCTGGAAAACACAGAGTTAAGCAGTGATTCGACAACTCAACCATACTCAACTCTGAAAAGCGTGAAGTTATCATTATGGTGGCTTGAGAAACTCAACATACTGTTATACTACATAAGCTTATTCTTCTTCTTCCGTCTTCTTAGACTATTTTAAGAACGCATCTCCTCCTAGAATGTTCATTCAACATCCACCAAACTAACCTCAAACCTCCAAACTATACTGACTCGGGTTGGTATATCTTTTCCAACTGATCCGACTTGCGGTTTTCCCAAAACTGACCCTGCAAATCTGGAAAAGTCCCATTGACTTAACATTGGACCAAACTTGGTGACCTCATAACTTTGCGCCAGACTGTCATACAGACTTAAGGTTGGGCTCATTTAACTCAAACTATCAATCACTGATGACCTTTCAACTAGCCACACCCTAGCAACTATGTATGGCAACTGTGCCATAGACTTCCATTATAAAAACTGACATTGACTTTACATTGGGGGGTGGGGGCCATTGTTAAATTTCAATTAATTCATAATGAATTAATTAATTGTAGCCTACCGTTTTCACTACCTGACCCACATGGTCTTTGCTTTACCCATAACCAAACCATAAATAAATAAAGTTACAAACAACTGACCACCTGTCAATCACTTTTTTTTTGCGGGACTCTACGGCTTTTCTACGGCGGTTCTAATGGCTTTTCCCACGGCTGGTGGAGGAGACGAGAGTTCGGTTGGAGTTCACTGTAGTGCATACATTTTCATTGTTTTCACTGCAAAATCCTCACCGTGTGCACAGATTTAGGAGACATTTATGCAGAATGCATCTTTGCACCTAAAAACACCAAACGCAGCACTTCGGAGCAGATAAACAGTTGTTATGAGAACTTGATGAAGTAAAAAGCCTACAATGCTTGCCCCACCTTTGTGCTCTTCTTATTGGCCCACTGCTCTAACTGAACTCGAATGGTTTGGTTAATATTCGAATTGGTTAATATCAGCTGTCAATCACTCAGTCAATGCCTTCTGCTTTCAGATGACAGGAGCTACAACCGCGAAAATGTGAAGCGATGAAGATGAGAGAATGAAAATAACACTGACAGATTTACCTACAGTTACTAATAACGACACATCTTATTAGTGATCATGTGCTGAATGCTAATCTACCATTTACACTTTTCCAAGAGTGGATAACAGTGGCTTCAAGTCCGCTATGAAAATGACTAAAGCCATTCACTGTAAAGTCTGTGGGACGGGGTTTGCAGGTAACAGCATTTGCCACTGAATCTACACATTTTAAGCGTGAGAGGTAATCCTCACGATGCTGTCAGCTGTGCAAGCGGTAGCTGTATGTAACATTTAACACAGCTCATGAAAAGACTGTTATTGCTATTAAGATGACATGCAAATAAGTTATACATCAATATAAATGTGGGGTGGGGCGATGGATCACGATGCCGGCTCAGCATCGTGAAGTTTGTCGGCCATTGGTGATGGACGATGGCATCGTCTATCGACACAACCCTAACCGTACGTTCACACCGAAAGCAGCGAGAGCGTCAAAGTAGCCGGAAGTCATTCATTTTCAATGAGAGCTGGCAGCGATAAGCGGCGAGGAGGAGCGCGACGCGTCTTCTCTGCCGTGGGCGTCGAGGAGAGTTGAAATCAAGTCAACTTGGTTATGACGTGGTTCGGCGGCAAGCAATCAGAATGAAAACGTCCACCGCTTGATAGGAGTTCAGAGAACACAGACCTGTAAACTTTGGTTCAGACCACAGTTGTTCCCAAGGGTTTGATGATTGCGGTCGCCGGATTTCCAAATATTTACAATGTTTTCTTAAAGGAACATTCATTAAATAACTTACTGGCGAGTTACTGATGTTCATTAATATTATATAAATTTATCTTTAAAAAGTGGGAATCTCACGCGACGTGACAGTACAAAACAGTATAGCTGCTTCAGGACATTTCAGACATATGGACACATATATACGAGATCAATGTAGTGAGTTTTGACTCTCTCGCCGCCGGAGCTGAATGCAGACAGCGTTGTCACCAGAGCGGCCAGAGCGACCTTGGACGCTCTTGCTGCTTTCGGTGTGAACGTACGATAATAGTCAGAGACCTGTTTTCCTTAGCTCCCCTACCGATCTACTTGATTTTTGTTAATGTTTTGTCTCTTTTAAAAACATTTGATTTATGAAAATTACAGAGTGTTGACGGGACGTCAATTTATTAATTCAAGTGCCTGTGTCTTTTCATGTGTTCGGCTCAAACCTTGATTGTTGTTATTATTCGAGCCAGTTTTGATTTTTGGGCCGTAACACCAGGAAAAAAAAAAAAAAAAAAACATGACGTGTTCAATACTTATTTTCCCTGCTGTAGAGCTAAAAATGAACTTTTGTTAAAAGTTGTGAGTGATTGGTTGGGCGTCAGACAAATTTGGGTATCTTGACATTGACATATAAAAATTAAGAGCTGTTTAAAATGATTTAAGACCTAAAACACAATATTTCAGTGAATTTAAGACTTTTAAATGCCTACAATTTTGTTTTTGAAACACTTATTAAGACCCTGCGGACACCCTGTTACTGCTATATTCAAATCTGCTTATCGTATAGTGACAGTGATAAATCAACAGTAATGCATAACTTACATCAGGAAGCGTCATCACAAAGTCATGCAGATAAGCCTTCTTAGCAGCGTCTATAATCTCCTCCATGCTCACGGTTCGAGAGTTATCTCCATACTGGATATTCTCTGCGATACTGCAGTCGAACAGCACGGGCTCCTGGGATACAATACCAATCTGAGACCTCAGGAAGGGAACGCTGATGCTGTCGGACGGGCGTCCATCAATCAGCTACAGCAAGAAGAGAATCACTGTTCATTTTGTGCTTTGCAATCATTCGTAGTATTGGGATTTATTTTGGAAAGACATTTGGATAACATTTATTAGCTGTGGTTTATTGGGTTCTTTTCCTTTAGCAAAAATGCAAGGATTAATTTAATGCAGCAATAGATATTACTGCATTAAATCATTTTTGTTACACCAAAACAATTCAGAACAGTCCATGAGCTCATTAAAATACAGCGCATCCGGAGAGTACAAAATACTGTATAAAGCAGGGGTCACCAGTCTTGGTCCTGGAGGGCCGGTGTTCCTGCAGGGTTTAGCTCCAACTTGCCTCAACACACCTGCCTGGATGTTTCAAGTATACCTAGAAAGATCTTCATTAGCTTGTTCAAGTGTGTTTGATTAGGGTTGGAGCTAAAATCTGCAGGACACCGGTCCGCCAGGAACATGTTTGGTGACCCCTGCTATAAAGCATTAATTTAAAAGTAAGATGGGTAAGATGGTTAGGGTGCATCAATCATGCAGTAAATGTGGTTTCATACCACTTGTCCCTCATCGGGGTCGTAGAATCGTTCCAGTAGCTGAACACTGGTGCTCTTTCCACAGCCACTGCTACCCACAAAAGCCAGAGTCTGTCCTGGATGAACCGACACCACCAGACCCCTCAGAACCTGTACGTCTGGCCGGCTGGGATACGTGAACCTGCACCCTTTGAATTCCACTTTGCCCTTAAAGTCATTCTGGTATGAAAAGAATGAAAACCAATATGTTATTTTATAAGATACATAACAATCTGAAACTGAATAACATTAAAATAAACATATACAAGTTTAAATTTAAAATACAATAACATTTTAAAACACTTAATAAAACAAAACAAAATAAACCTGATTTAACATTTAAAAAGACAACAATCAAACAAAAACACTTAATAACTAAACAAATATTAAAATATTTTAAAATATCCAATAATAAAATATTATTAAGCTATTAAACTATAAAAATACATTTCTGATTTAAGATTTAAAAAGTATCAAAAACAAAACTAAACAACTCAAATAATAAATATATAAAATACTGATATTTAACGTCAAAATAAAGTAAAATAAAACAAAATAACTTTGCACTGGAAATTTGTATGTGTTACGATCACCAGTGATCTAATTCGTACAGATCACTGGAGAACTACAGATCTGTTACTGAACTGGACTACAAATAACATCATGCACTTCACACCAGTTCCTCATTCCCTTGTTTACACACTCATAGCTGCTAACTCATCACAGACTGATTAGCTGGACTTTACATTTACCCCTCACAGACACACACACACACACTGCGGAGTCTTGTTTATCATTGTTAAGCAATTCTATGAGTATTTCCCTGTTTATTCTGCTGTGTGTTTTGACCTTTTTCTAGTGATGGTGATATGAAGCTTTCGGATCCAGTGAACCTCTGCTGGTTAAAGTGTGGGAATGCACTGTGTTGCAAAAATGTCAAATGTTCACAACTGACCAACTCATTCATGTAGTAATACAACAATAGTAATATAAACAAATAACTCAATTACTGTAGTCTATTACACATAAGTTATGTTACATTATACCACCGATGACTAGTGAAATCCAAGATATTCAAAAGTTTTTACAATTATCACATTCCAACTGGTCCTTCACCCATCGCCTCGTTCCAAGCGGGGATTGAACCGGCGATTCTTGCATGTGAGGTGAATGCTCTAACGAGGAGGCTATGGGAGTGTGGCTTTCAGGACCACACGAACCAGCTGTCCTCTGTTACACTCTACACCACAATATGCAGTGGCCTTCGTTAAAAATAGTTGTAAATAATACAATAATACACTTTAGAATGGTTCAAAACCTTTTTACTATAAATGACTATTGCATTTTAGTTAAATTACTGGTGCGTGGGACTAGTGCAGTGCTTTGAAATAATTGATGCCTAATCTCTCGCTATACACTTTACTAATCCACGAGGGTGTTTAAATCTTTGAATCAAAATTTGTGGGTAAAAGCGAAAATAAAGCTTCGGACGTTACTGATCACGTGTTGATGACAAAACGAATCAAGCTCCGGCACACTGCTTCCCTGCGAAATGTATCAATTTTTTAATACATGTTTCAAAGCCTCTGTGCACAACATCACATCACTACCTTTGCCTGGTATCCTGTTTATTATTCCTTTGCTGCCTGTTCTGAATATTTGCCTGTTTATAATGACACTCTTTGGATTTCCTTAATGTTCCTGTTATGACATACGCCTGTTTGACTAAACTTGAAATAAACTGCACGTCGATCCTTCATCTCTGTTGTCCAGTGTTTTACGTTACAGCATGAAAAAATTACATTTTTTAAATTACACAGCCCCAGTGAATGAAAAATGATGATGTTGATGGTTTGTTTGTCTATAGAATGGTCTAGATTTACCAGCAAGGGATAAAATGGGCAAGGCTAACTAGCCAAAAGAAGCTGAACATTGGGATGAAAGAAAAACAAGCTTTCTTACCCAGCTTTGTCCTTCTGTTTTGCTGACATTAATTTTGGGAACCCTGTCCAACAGCTGGAAAAGCTGTGCAGCGGAGATCTTCGCTTTCGCATAGTCTGGTGTGAAAGATGAAGCTCTGCCAAGTGCAGTGGCGCTGGTCACCAGAGCAGAAATCACTCTGAGGAAGAAACATCTATTTTTACATCTGTTATACGACTTGACCACATGTAGTGTCAAAATATTTCCTAAATGATGTTTAATTATGCAAAGAAATTTTCACAGTATTTCCTATCATATTTTTTTCTTCTGGAGAAAGGCTTATTTGTTTTATTTCAGCTAGAATAAAAGCAGTTTATTTTTTATAACTATTTTATGGTCAGTATTATCAGCCCCCTTAAGCAATATGTTTTTGATTGTCAACAGAACAAACCATCGTTATACAACGACTTGCCCAATTACCCTAACTTACCCTAATTAATCTAGTTAAGCCTCTAAATGTCCCTTTAAGTTGAATACTTGTCTCTTGAAAAATATCTAGTAAAATATTATGTGCTGTCATCATTACAAAAACTAAATAAATCAGTTATTAGAAACTAGTTTTAGTTTATTAAAACTATAAAGAGTAATGTCCGGATTATTGTCAGCTGTTGCAGAAGTTGATGAGCGCAGAGAGTTCTGGGAGTTGTAGTTCATTGAGAAGTAATCTCCGATAGAGAAAACCCTGCTGGCAATTACAGCAGACTACAGGAAGTGATCTCCAGCGGAGACAACCCTGCTCACAACGACAATGAAGTCTCATGTTATTTCACATTTAATTGTTCAATTTCTGTAACTGAATACTGTTTCACTAACTGGAAAACCATAAAGCTTTTTGTTTTACTTTTTTCTTTGCTCTATTGTTCCTATTTTTAAATCATGATTCACTTACAAAACCCTTACAAAATCACCATCATCAGTCTGAATTCAAGATTTCCTTCCAAAATAGGGCTATTTAACCATCTGGTGAAACTGTATTCATATCGCAATATTTATTGTAGAAAAACAAATCATCACATTAGCCCAGTCCCAATTATACCCATTAGCCCTTCCTCTTACCCAATTCTATTTAGCTGAAAGGCATAGGGCTAACTGTACGTTCACACTGAAGGCGACGAGTGCGTCAAAGTAGCCGGAAGTCATTCATTTTCAATGGAGTCGGCAGCGATAAGTGGCGAGGAGCAGCGCCGTGCATCTTTGCCGGTGGTGTGGGCGTCGAGGAGAGTTGAAATCAAGTCAACTTTATGGTAATGAGCTATGGTGCGGTTCAGCGGCAAGCAATCAGATTGTAGAAGTCCAGCGCTTGAGAAGAGTCCAGAGAACACAGTCACTGTGAACTTCTCACAGCGATAAACATTAAAAAAGTTACTGCTGACTGTTACTGATGTGCATCAATGTTATACATACATATATATATATATATATATATATATATATATATATATATATATATATATATATATATATATATATACATACATATATACATACATACATATATATATATATATATATATATACGTATATACATACATACATATATATATATATATATATATATATGTATATATATATATTTTTTTTTTTTCTTTAAAAAAGGGGGAATCTCATGGAACAATACAAAACAGTATTGCTGCTTCAGAATATTTCAGACATATGGACACATTGGATAATTAAGTGGAGCAAAGCCACACCACATGCAACTTGATCTTCCGTAGTTAAATAAATTTGATAATAGGTTTGCAACATTTTCACGTTAGAAAGCATGTTTTATGCGGGAATGTAACTGATATAATATGCTGCAACGGCTCCTTCAAATACGAGATCAATGTATCAAATTTTGATGCTCTCGCTGTCAGAGCTGAAGGCAGACAGCGTTGTCGCCAGGGCGGCCAGAGCGACCTTTTACACTCTCGGTATGAACGCACAGTAAGGGGAAGGGGTAGATAGCCCTTTGAACAAAGATTTTTCAGGATGACACTCAAAATACACCAGAATACACCATCTACAACGGCAGCATAGCTGCACCTGGAAGTAAGGAGATCCACAAATTAGTATTTTTTGTCATTATTACGTATTTTTACAACAAACAAACACATGTTTTACATTTATAAAACATTTACAGATACATTCATGACCGCGGTCGCGTTCGTCATGCTTTAAAAAAAAAAAAAGCTAATAATTTATAATCCCTAATAATAACTCCTGTACAGCAGTCCCACAACAATCTGACACTCAAATACCCTGTCAGAAAAGTCTAGGGGCTGGGAATGGGCTTTTTACAGTGTCTGCTATAATGTTAATGTTATTTTCGTGTGTTTACATAAATAAATATGGCCACTGTGTAAATGCACAGTATAATTACGATCTTACTGCCACATTATATCGTTATGATAACCATAGCAGTCACCATTGTCTGATCTCATATGAAGCAGGAGATCGTGATGACATATGATGACGTGTGCAGGTGCTGTAATGCTGTTCCATTCTTAGGGGTAAATTTTGAAGACCTTTCCCTGCAGACTGGGTTTAAATTGTCAAGGGGAAGGATATAAAAAATAGAATTGGGATTGGGCCAGTGTCTGATTTTTCAATATTGTCCATCCTTACATGCCACAACACATTGCTTGAAAGTTACAGAAAACCACACTTACCTGAACACCATCATGTATTGAAGCCCCTCATGACTGACCAAATAGCCTCCGTATCTAAAGGATGCAGCGTAGGCCATGAAAATGACACAGCGAGCGAATGCGAAACAAATCCCATAAACGTAAGCTTTTTTCTTGGCTGCTTTATACGGAGCCTGAAGCTGCTTTTCAAATTGAGCCACAAAGTGCTTTTCTTTGGCTAAACCGGCGATGGTCCTGATGTTGCTCATAGCTTCACTGGACACCTACATCAACAGAGAGGACCAAAATCTCATTAGACAAGGTTCATGCACATTTACATCGTACAACTAAAATTCTATGACTTCTCCAGGACTTTCAAGACCTAATGTTTCATGTAATGTCTACATATAGGCTGCGTCCGAAACCACATACTTCCATACTATATAGTACGCTAAAATCAGTATGCGAGCCGAGTAGTGTGTCCGAATTCATAGAATTCGAAAATCAGTATGCGAGAAGTACCCGGATGACTTACTATTTCTGGCGAGATTCTAGAGTGTGCATCCCATGCATGCTGCGCTATCCCATGATGCCTCGCGAGCGAATTCATGAATGGGAGTAAAGCGACGCAATTGACGCAGGTAGGTCACGTGACCATGACAAAATGGCGGATGTAGCACGTCCCAATTTCATTCATACTTTTCACATTCATACTGTATATAACATACTTTTCTAACGGCCAGGTAGTACGTTTAAATTCAAATGCAGTACCTACTGAGTAGCAGGCGGTTTCGGACGCAGCCATACACTCACCGGCTACTTTATTAGGTACACCTGTCCAACTGCTCGTTAACGCAAATTTCTTATCAGCCAATCAGATGGCATTAGAATGGGGAAGAAAGGTGATTTAAGTAACTTTGAACGTGGCATGGTTGTTGGTGCCAGATGGGCTGGTCTGAGTATTTCAGAAACTGCTCATCTATTTTGATTTTTTACGCACAACCATCTCAAAGGTTTACAGAAAATGGTCAGAAAAAGAGAAAATATCCAGTGAGCGGCAACTTTAGTGCAAATGATTGATTAAGAATGCAGAAAATAAATAAATAAATAAATACAAAAAAAATAATAATAATGACGTATAAAACTAAATGAATTGATAACAAGCCCAACTGAATCATGATAAAAGCTAAATGTAGACATTATTTCTCCAAGCTTGTAATTTACAAAAATGTTCAAATTAAACAGAAATAAAAATATATTTATAAGATTCAATTAGGCAGTTTCATTTCGCTGTGGCAAGTTCTGATAAATCAGGGACTGAGTTGAAGGAAAACGAATGAATAAACAAATTAATAAAAATAAATATATAAATGAAAAAACAATTGAAATCAAAATAAAACCAAAAATGATAAAATAAAATATTTAAACTCGAAAATAAAATAAATAATGCATAAAATCACTTGTTTAATGTAATAATTTAAACATTTATTAACATATTTAAATGAAACATAATAAAATATAGTGTGATAAATAAAATAAAATATGAAATAAAATAACATTAAATTTAAGAAAAATATTTATGTGAAATAAAATATGAAAACAAATTTTTTTTATAAAAAAATATATACAAAATAAAATAAAATGTTTTTTTATTTTATATTTTAAAAATGTAAAGAAATATATAGTATACACACACACACACACACACACACACACACACACACACACAAATATATATATATATATATATATATACACAACAGTTCTGTCTGGTTCTCGAATCTGATTGGCTAATAGCCATGATATATTTAAGTAATATCAGCACCCGTACAGCCTCTTTACCCTTTGTGTATTACTCCGCCCACATACAACCAGCAAAAAGCAGACACTACAGATCAAAAGTTTTAAAAATGCTTGCTCAGCTGTTCAACTGTCAGCTTATGATTTGAATCCAAGGCGGAAGAAAGTAGTTCCTCATACAAAAGCTTTTTTGAGACACTCCATGTTTGATTTTGTTTTTATATACACAATTATGCAGTCAAACTGTTGTATAAATGCAATATCACACTCGCAGCAGTTCATTATTATATTATTGCTCATATATATTTAATAACAATAAATTAAAACACAACATTTTATTGCTGTTGCATTTTTACACCAGAAAATACATGAATGTTGCATTTGAATGAGTGGATGAAGCTGTATTAAACATGACTTTTACCTGTCCTGCAGCCTCCAGTGCGGTTTTGTCCTCATTAGCGAGTCCTGTCAACATTTTGGACTGAAAGACTCCAGAGAGGCCGATGAGAGGCAGGAAGCAGGTGACCACCAGACTGAGCTTCCAGCTGAAGTAATAGGCAATAATGAAGGAAGCGCCGATGTTGGTCAGAGAGTTGACGATCATGCCAATCTGTGAACCTGTGGCCTTTGAAGAAGAACACATTTCACACAATCAAACCCACACTTCACCTATAAATACAGTAATTGATGTCAATCTTAAAAGGGCATATGATGAATTTTTAATCAGGTTTCAGTCTGCATTATGCATGGCATTTATAGTCTTGTGTAATTAAAATAACGCTTTTTTTAAATGTAAGTATCAGTATTTTAGTCTTAAGAGATATCTATATGTTTGTGTGGTAAAAAAAAAGTGACAAAATTTGCTGTAAGATATAAACAATCAAAGCTTGCAGTTTGTCACTTCCTCCTAAATGGATTTTTTTTTTCACGTCACCTTATATTTTACTTCAGAGGTGGGCAAACTATGGCCCGCGAGCCATATGCGGCCCGCTCAACACTTTCAAGCGGGCCTGCGAGGGAGTTTTTAAAATGCTGCTTCTGAGTAACGGTTTATGCAGAGTTCAGACTGCATGATTTTCAAAGTAGTCGTATCACAGATGTTTTCACACTGCATGACTATCTGGGCTAGCGTTTCATCGCTGCTTTGTTTACACTGCAAGATGGATCGGCGACGGGGGTTTTCACATTGCATGACTTTACTATAGGAAGAATCGCCGACAACTTCGTCCAAACTACGTCTCACAGCCAAAAACACGAAGTATATCTTTTGTTATTAACTACATAATGAGAAAGAAGCCTTTAATGGGGTAGAAAATGTACATATTTGCTCACCTGGGTTTAAAGGGAATTAGCCATTTCTCCTCAACGTTGAAAATAAACTAATTTCTTTCTGTATGAAACGTCAAACAGACACGGTTGCTCCTGAGTCCTGTCAAACCTCCACTAGTGTTTCCTCCATTTCGTGGGTCCAAATAAACCTAAAAAGAGCGCTTTTAACTTCTCCCCCAGCCTCATCCTGGCCTGCAGCAGGTATACACACACACACACACACACACAAGTGAATGCTGCTCTCTCATTGGCTGTAGGCGATCGCTGATGTTATTTTAAGTCAAAACTCAGTTCACACGACATGATTTGAATCGCTGACAGCTCCAAATATTTAGCACGTGAAATATCTCACAGGCATCGGCGACTCATCAGCGATTCTCTCAGATCGCGTCTTTGATGGTTCATACTGTGTGATTGTCACTCACGTGCACGAGCACCAATTTGCCTGTGATTTCAGGCATTTGTCGGCGATTTCTCAAAACCTGTCGGCGAGCCAAAATCGGGGCTAAAATCACGCAGTCTGAACTTGGCATTAGTTACAGAGTTAGTAAAGTAATGGTGCAATACAAGTAAACGCCATGTGATGGCAGTATTGCACGCCGTACAATTAGAGCAATCAGTAGAATTAGAACACACTCTCGGATATTAAAATGCACTCGACTGTTAATGACTGAAAATTGACTCTGAATGTTGTGTGTCAATACTTTTTGACCAATGTCGAAAGCGGTAGGTTTAATATGGTAAGAAAGTACTGCTGTTTTTAAAGAGTACAAACTAAGGGGCCGATTACACTGAATGCCAGGCCCGGATTGGCTAATGGGGAGGACCAGGAGGATTCCCGGTGGGCCGGTCTGTTTTTTGGCTGCGAGGGTCGGTTTTCCTAGCTGCTTGCACTCTCAGCAGTCGCACTTTTTTAATTTATGTATTCATTTGACCGAAGCCTCACTCTTTTTATTCATTATTTTGCAGCAGCTCCGCTCTTTTTATTTATTTTCTCGCAGCCCCGTGAGAAAATGCAGCCTGCAGGTTAATGATGACGTAACTATCATTCGACGGCAAACAGCAGCACCTTAGTGAATATAAGACATTTAATAATTAACATTAATGAATATTACACCTGCTCAAGGACAATCAGATGATTTACTACATTAATAACTCTGACATAACTTGTTCAGAAATCTAAAAGGTGGAGAAATAGACTATGCCATTGTGGTCCAATGGTCAGAGCATTGCGTTACGATGCGGCCGACCCGAATTCGAATCTCTCCTAAATCATTTATTTAATTTCTGTCCCATTTTAAGTGTTAAGACATAGAATACTGTTCGGGTTACTTATGTAGGTGTAAATATTAAATTTAATTTATTTGTGTGACCACCGTTACAAAGCACTGAATATATATTCAGATTTCGCAGGAAGGGACATTGTGATGTTTTAAAAAATAGTGTTGGAGATTTAGCTGCCCTTTAATATTCGTGCATTTACGTTCCAAAAACTCTGAGGTGGACCACACTGCCTTTTTGTTGACCAGAAAAAAAGGAGCTCGGTGCGCTTTTTTTATTTTGTCAGGCAACTACTAATCAGCTATTTTGCAATTGTGCTGCTGTTGATATTAATATAGCCTAACTTTATTTTCAGGCTCATTGTTCACATTAACACACTCATAATAACATGACTAAGACTAAAGACTAAGATTCTTCTTCCGTTTTATCTCATAGTTTTCTAATGATTGATATGAGGATATTAATAAAAGCTCAATTGAGCTTGTTGTGAATTTGACTTAAATTATATAATAATTGCTGGTTAAATGTGTTCATTTTTGTCATAGAAAATATTTTCCATGCATACATCCACCTTAAAAAGTTGTTTTACCAAAGATTTGTGGTTTTATCAAGTTTTATGATAATTAATTATATGATATTATGATAATTAAATAATTAATCTGTATAATGTAAAAGCAGTGCAAATTAGATTATTGTAAATGTGACTAAATAATAAAATGTAAGAATTATATTTAATGTGTTAATATGAGATTTTTTCTAATCAGACAATATCTTTTCTATTCTCCATTGTAAAAATTATAACATTATTATCATATTTTATAAGAGATTATTTTATAGTTTTATGATGATTGATAAGTGATGATTAATATAAATGGCAGTGCAAATTCATTTGACTTGTAAATTTGACTCAATAATCGGTCACACTTTACAATAAGGTTCATTAGTTAATATTAATTAATGCATTTATTAGCAGGAACAAACAATGAACAATACATTTACTACTGTATTTGTTCATGTTAGTTAATGTTAGGTAATGAAAATACAGTAGTTCATTGTTAGTTCATGTTAGCTCATGGTGCATTAACTAATGTTAACAAGCATGGACTTGGATGTTAATAATGCATTAGTAAATGTTCAATTATGATTAATAAATGCTGAACAAGTGTTGTTTATGATTAGTTCATGTTAGTAAATGCATTAACTAATAAACCTTATTGTAAAGTGTTACCCAATAATAACTATTTAAAAAATCAGTTATGAGTTAATGTTACATGTTTCTGTCAGATATTACATGTTTCATGCATACTGCCACTAAAAATAAAAGTTATTTTTTGAAGGATTTGACATGTGGTCCTTCACTTGGTTTGCAAAACTTGTGTGGCCCTCTGCGGCCCTCTGACCACCGCTTTAGTTTCTCATCAAATCTTCTGACCAATCAAATGCCCTCTAGTATCTAACATGCCCCGCTCCCTTCAAGATACTTTTCATTTGATGCACTTGATCTCAACCAATCTGAACTCTGAAAAACTAAAATGCTATTGGCTGCTTTTTAAAAGAGGAGGAGCTACATGCTTATTTCAAGCACTTCATTGCACATTTAAGCCTTTTAAAGTGTAACTTTCGGTCCAACTTTATATTAATTGGCCTTAACTAATATGTACTTACACAGGAATTAATAGTTTGTTACAATGTACTTATTGTGTAAATACATGTATTTATTGTGTACTTATGCTTAAGTAAATATCTGTATGTAATTACATCTGTAATTAACTTCTGTAATTACATTTGTAAAATACACTGCTGATCATTCCCTATACCTTAACCCACCATTAAACCTACCCACACCACCAAACCGGTCCATAACCCAACCTCAATCCCAACTCAAGAGCAATACACGTGTTCTCAAATACATTATGAAAACAGTAACTACATTGTATTTATTTTTGATCCTACTACATAGTAGTTAAGGACATTTAATATAAAGTGGGACCTAATTTTCTAATAATGTGTTAACACCAGACGTGGCATGCATTAATAAACCACCCTATTTGCGCATATACAGACGGGTGAACATTTTAGTTTACTCGCTTCATGCGTCATATTCGCTTGATTTGCACATCAAACTCATTTCAAAATAGCCTCAGATTCGCATCATTGGAGAGGCTACTGTCTGCCCAGTGACTCTAGCTTCATTGCTAAATGGCTAACAAAGATTTTATTGAGACGGTCGCTGTGTTTATGTGCTTTAGGAAGGCTGAAAACAGCGCACATTTGTTTGGTGACGTGTCCACTATAGATCCTTTCTGAGCTGCATTCAGCTCTGTGAGTTCATCAACTCCTCATGAAACTATACCTGGATGATGGAAGCTTTTAGCTGTGCTTCCCACTGAGCCGAGCCCAGTTTGATGAGCTGTTCTCCCGTGTTGGCAGAAGAATTTCCTCTTGGGACACCAACAACAGGCGCTACATCATGATCACGCCCCTACAAGAGCAGGCTCCTGATTGGTTAACATGGTGCGAATGTCCATTTAAGTCGAGCAATTCACACGTAAAATTCTCAATTTGTGCGGCTTCATTCATGCGAACTGCATTATTTTGGCTCATTTGTGCGAATGGTGGCGCAGGATGTCTATTCGCGTCTCGCATTGACTTAAAATTTAAATCACTCGTGCTTGATTCTTCATCCGTGTCTGGTGTGAACGCACCATAAGTGTACGTTTCTATGTGCCAAATTCAGGCAATCTTTTATCTTAATTTTCTCCTTCATTCTCAAAATTAAATGCTTATGTTTTTCATTTGCTGCTGCTTCTTTAAAATAGAACTGCTCAGTTATGGAAAAATTATAACCATGATTATCTTGGTCATGATTTTTGGTTAATTGAATTAACTAAGTTGGCTGTATTGCATAAGTGTGTGTGAGAATGTGAGATGGGTGTTTCCCAGTACTGTATTGTGGCTGGAAGGGCATCCGCTGCATAAAACATAAGCTGGAATAGTTGGCAGTTCATTCCGCTGTGGTGTTCTGCACTCACCCCCTGAACCATGGAGGCATTGGTGGCCAATCTGGTCGTCAAAGCACCAGGACTGTTCATGGGATCATCAAACCAGCCGATCTCCTGCTTTAGCATCGCCTGAAATCCAAATTTCCTCAGCCGACGAGTCAACAGCTCTCCTGATTTAGCGAACGAGTAGCCCTGCAACCAACATCTCACATTACTTAAGGGAGACAGTCAAGCATAGACAGCGAAAACACAAGGAAATGGAGGAAATACCTGTAAGAACTGTGAAAAGAAGCTTACGACTCCTATGACCACAAACAAAATACAAATCCCATTTATCTGCCTCCTCTGGTCATCCGGGTCCGGAATAGAGAACGTCTGAAAAACATCCATAATATTGTTAAAGCTTTATTAGCAAGAAATACTTAAAATAAAGGTGAACTGTGAGAATCTGCACTACTAGAGCTTCTAAACACAACTGCAAAAACACACTCCACTACTGATTATAGTTTCCTACTTTTTATTGCAATCCCAAACTCTTATACCTTTTAGATGTAATTTATTAACGGCTGAAATTTTTTTTGAATGAACCGCCAACTATTCTGGCATTTGTTTTATGCCTCATTCACACTAGCAGCGACTTTGTAGCTGCCTTGCGTTCTGGGTGGCGACCTGCTGCAAACGAGAAGATCATGTGAGCTCTACTGGTCCTCCTATTGGCTGTTGCTCAAGAAAGTCGCTCTTTATTTTTATTTATTACAGTTGCTTTCGCTCGTGTAGACGGAGGTCGCCGGAAGTAGCCCACTCTCCGTTGAAATAAACAATCGCTTGTTGCTTTGCTGCTGCGAGTCGCTCATAGTGTGAATGAGGCTTTACACTGCGGATGCCCTTCCAGCCACAACCCAATAATGGGAAGCACCCATACACTCTCACATTCATACACACACTCATACACTACGGCCAATTTAGTTAATTCAATTCACCTATAGAAAATGTCTTTGGACTGTGAGGGAAACCGGAGCACCCGGAGGAAACCCACACCAACACAGGGAGAACATGCAAACTCCACACAAATGCCAACTGGCACAGCTGGGACTCAAGCTTTCTTAGTTAATGCATTGTTAATATCTGAATAGTACATTAAATTAAAACAGCACTCACCCCAAGTATTTGACTGAACAACAGAGCATACATAGGGTTGAGAGATCCATTTATAGCAGCACCTATAGACCCCAGCAGCATGTAAGGCCATTCGGGACGGTTATACTTCAGGATTCGAGCCACAGGAGCCGGTTTTATGTCCTCTTTAGCTTTACCTTTGCTTTTCTGCAACACGACATAGAGCTATTATAATACATAAGATGTTATTGCATGGTGTTGTTGAAAAACTATACTAAGCTCCAAACCTTGTTGTTATCCGATTCCTCCATTTCGAAAAGGTCTGAATTGAAGTCAAATTTTCCAGAAATGACTGAAAGACTGTTTGACAATTGAGAAAGAGATCGCCGTCTAAAAGAGAGCAAAAAGGAAAGGCATTTTAGTATAAAAGAAAACATTTTTAATGATGTTTTTTTCAAATATGAGGCATGATGTACCTTAAGACGCTCTCATAACTTCCACTGCTGAATCTCCTGAGCTCCTCGAGTTCAGCCTCCTCTGTAACTCTTGACTCTGCAGCTGTGATTCAGTTTTGTGTTAGCGCGGTTATATGAATGGTTCACCCACACGGAAAGAACATATATAAACATATATGTACATATAGGAAAATGGCCAATTTTATATATGTCACATATATATAACATACATGTTTGTTAAAGTTTTTTTTTTCGTGAGGGCATGTAAATGTAAACTGTCATTTGTGCCATTTAAAATAGAAACTCTTTACAGTGCTAATTCCTTTTGCATATGCAATGTGAGATTACTTTACAACTTTTTAGCAAATCTAAAGGGCATATGCATTTAAGTGTTTTATTTTATTTTTTATTTAATTTAATTTGACATACTTTTTACTATTATTTTCCTACTGGAATATTAAGAAAACTCACTTCTTTATTACATACATTCTATCTCCAACATTGCATGGTAAAACATAAATAAATAAATGAATAAATAAATCAATTAAATTAATAAAAAATAATAATAAATAACAAAAATAAAATAAAATAAAATAAAATAAAATAAAATAAAATAAAATAAAATAAAATAAAATAAAATTAAATTAAATTAAATTAAATTAAATTAAATAAATAAATAAATAAATAAACTACATACATTTTTGGGCCCAAATTTGAGTAAAATACTGTATATATGACCCTGCATATACACTACTTGACAAATGTCTTGTTGCCTATACAAATTGTAGGAACAGCAAATAATAACTTGAGTTCTAGTTGATCATTCGGTATCAGAAGTGGCTTATATGAAAGGCAAAGTCCTCTGTTTTGATTGAGTTACACCACCTGACAAAAGTCTTGTCAGCTATCCAAGTTTGAGGAACAACAAATAATAGTTTGACTTCTAGTTGATCATTTGGTATTATAAGTGGCTTATATGAAAGGCAAAGGCCTCTAGATTACACTTATTTTTCTAAAATAAAACATGATCATGCCTTAATTATTTAATCAGGACAGTAACATCTGACTTTGATTAGACAAAAGTCTTGTCACTTAACAGAAATAATGTCCAGTAAAGAATGTAAAGTCATGCTGCAGTGGAGAAAGAGTTAATATTGTGTCTGACTCCCGTGAGTTAGAAGGACTGCATCCACACATCTCTGCAATGACTCAAATCACTTATTAATAAAGTCATCTGGAATGGCAAAGAAAGTGTTTTTGCAGGACTCCTAGAGTCCAAGTTAATATTTTTTGCTCTTACAACTGGGATCGAAGACAAGACTTTTTTCAGATAGTGTATTTGCAATGCAAGATCTCTTCAACTTTACAACTATTCTGTAAATCTAACAGGCACATGCATTTAAATGTTTATTTTCACTTAGTTTTATCTTATTTTATTTTATACAATTATTTATTTTTTAATTAAATATAGTTTAGTTTTGTTTTCTTGCTGGGCTTTTAAAAAGAAAAGTTTCCTTATTAAATAAGTTATTAAATAAATGTATTCAAATTAATTTTTTTGGGTACCCAAATATTATTTAAATATATATATATTTGTCAATTTTGTGAAATTAAGAATTATGCATCAGATTAATAAATATGTATTTATATAAAAATAAATAATATTTCCATTGGTGTATGGTTTGTTAGGATTGTTCAATATGAGACAGAGCTTTGACTATTTGAACATCTAAATGTTAAAGAAAATAAATACATTTTAAAATAAATAAATAAATAAATAAATAAACAAACAAACAAACAAACAAACAAATAGGTAAAAATATTTAGAAAATCACATTTGTCCAAAAGTTGTCTAAACCAGGGGTTCTCAAACTTTTCAGCTTGCGACCCCTAAAATAACAACACCAGTGACTCGCGACCCACACTATGCTTGGAGATGGTTATAAACATACAAATACTGCACATAATGGTGCACTAAACACAAGCATAACCGCTTGGAGATCATCCTCCATGTTCAGTCATGGGCTTTATTTTTAATATATGTGTGTCATAAAGTTGTCAAAGTTGAACATTGTGCCGTAAAATCAATGTTCTGCAACCAACGCTATTGCTGTGACGTTAATCTAGCATAATAGACCCAGGGGTCTCAATCCGATGGAAAAAAAAAAAAATTAAAAGCTGATGGCTTTTTATTTGCATGTTGTTGTTTGTTTTATGTAATTTTTAAATATTAAGTATATATTAAATATATAATAAATTAAAAACTATTTCTATCCTCTGCAGGTTATGGATAAATATGGTAATTCTAATAGTTTAATAACATATATGAGAGTTTTGGAAATCACCAAGCGACCCCCTCTTATTGTTTCGAGACCGCCACTTTGGGAACTACTGGTCTAAACTAAGATGCTTAGCAATGCAAAGAGTTTTTTTGAGAAATTTGGGAAAAATGTACAGTAGGGCTAATTCTAACTCCAACTGTATATTCATTTTTGGGTGAATGACTTCTTCAGGCAATATGTGAACATGAAGTTCTACTTCATGAACTTACTGTTCTCTGGTTTATCAGTGTCTGTGTCCTTCCCTTGATTCTGGAGCGTGACTAAGGTGAAGTAAACTCCCTTTTTATCCAGTAACTGGCTGTGTGTGCCTCTCTCCACAGCACGGCCATGCTCAAAGCCCACGATCACGTCTGCATTACGGATTGTGGACAGACGATGTGCGATGCTGATAGTTGTTCGGCCCTGTCGAGCCTGAAAAATGTATGAAACGAGTGTGTGCAACAACAAACAGACAAACACATTCACTTGCTCACAATTTTATATCGAAACTAACCGATTCTAGGACACTAACACACGAAAAATAAGTTTGCTAGGGGGCCGTTAACATATTGTGTCTATTGCATGCGCAAGTTTGTTTTTTTTCAATAGAGTCATGTAACTAGAACAAACCAATCAGCTTCATACTTTTTATGAACTATACAAGTTTCAAGACAAATAGTAGACTATTTACCTCAGACAAACACAGAGCACCCAAACACTGCAGTGCTTTTTAATTATCTCCGTAAATAAAAAGTGTAGCGGTACAGCAATGATTTGTCAGTTTGCTATCGTCATCCTCTGTGAACAGTTGATGGTTGCCTGGCAAAAACAGACACTACGGAAGCGTTAAAGGTATTCTAAACAATTGTTGTTGTGCTTACAAGGTGTTGCTGGGTGTTTCATTAACATACTGAAATAAAAGTCTTAGTAACTTCTGGTTCAAGCAGTGAAGTACTTTCTGTGTGTTTCAGTTGGTTACTAGTTGGTTTCTAATGAGTTTCTGGATGCCCAATGTGTTAAAACGACAATGTACAAACAACAACAGAGCTAATAATTTCCATGTATTTATTTTACCATGTTTTTAAATGTACATTATAGCTTAATAGAATGTTTCATACCAGCAACATTTCAACCATAAAAAAAGTTTTATAAAAATAACTATGTAAATATAATTTTTATAATATTTTTTTTTGGGGGGGGGGGTACCTTTAATAGACATGACAGTATAGAGTATTGATAAGAAAGCATGGGGAGCAGAGATAGGGCAAGGATCTGCAAAGGGCCGCGAGGCTGGAATCAAACTCAGGCTGCCGAGAGCACTGAAGTGCAGGTGTCGATGCACTAACCACTACAGGAGACTATGACTTCCTGCTTTGCTACTGTTCGGACGTCTTTGCCCACTGCTCCGCTCTTCGCACTCTTGCTTTTATATCTTATACCCTAATTTTAACTTGAGCCTATCAGCACAGTGCTCAAACAACACGGCTTGAAGATCAGCATCGATTCTACAAACTTTCTGGAATACAGCTATACTAACAAGAGGGGAATTACCGTCTAAACAATCCTCCCGCTACCAGCTATCAGCTGCTTACATTCCGGAGACGGGAAGACACGGCTGTGAAAATGCCTCTGGACCGGATTATTTCAGATTCTTACTGCTGCACAAACTGCCACAAACTTCTACAAAAGATTGCAGTTCTTGAAACGAAGTTGCTTGCGATCCGACCAGAACTTCAGCTTCATTGTGGATTCTCTCAGCACACAGCCGGTGAGTCCCATAAATCTGTTCCTGCTACTGTTTTGAGCACAGAAAGACAGAAAAGAACTGTTGAAAATGAGCATTGGCATAAACAAGGTGCGAGACCAAAGGGTACTCGCGGGGTCAGATCATACGCTGCCGCATTAGCGTCTTCTACCCCAAATACAGCTCGGACTCAAATACAGCTTCAGAACAGATATGAAGTGTTGAGTAATATGGGTGAAGAATCCCCAAATGCAGTCAGACAGAGATCGCATGATTCAGCAACTAATTCTGCATGGAACAGAGGCTCAAGGCCGACTAGACAGCGGCATTCTGCTCCGATCACACCGGAGATAAGAACACTAGTCGTAGGAGATTCAATAATCAAGAATTTCAGGAGCAGATCTACAATGACATACTGCTTTCCTCATGCTACAGTTTCTGATGTAAACAAAGAACTTGAGGAAATTCTGAAAAAGCACAAGACTGCAAAACGGATTATCATCCATGTGGGGAAGAATGATATTCGGAAGGAACAGTCAGAACTGCTCAAGAAAGATTTCTGTGAGCTCTTGGAAACAGCTGAAAGATTGAAGGTTCAGGCGTTCATAAGTGGACCACTCCCTGCAAGAGGGACAAATATGTTTTCACGGCTTCTTGGTCTAAATGTATGGCTACAGAAAACATGTAACAAGAAAGGACTGAATTTCATCGACAACTTCAATCTCTTCTGGAACCAAAGACAGCTGTTTACATCAGACGGCCTTCATCCAAACAAATTTGGTGCAAAGGTGCTAAAGGACAATATTTTTTTCTCCCTCAATCATCCATCAGCTGTGTATGCCACTGAACTGAATTGTACGCACACACCTAGCAAATGTCCGGATGACCACAGGACCTCAAATCAGCTCCTAAGTGGACTTGTGGCTGACGAATCACCCAAGGACAGTGATAATGCCATGCAGCCAAAACACCCAATGGTGATAGAGACACTATCAGTTGCCCTCTGCTCAACACAGGCAGACTGTGACGCATCAGAACAGCATCAAGTCTCGTCACTCAAAAATGATCCTCAGGAAAACATACTTCTGCAGACAGAATCTCCAGATGCACAGCCTCTGTCACCGGACACGTTTTCATTGTCACAATGTTCACCACTCTTGGGTTTTTCAAAAAAGATGGAGGAACTGGTGTGTGCTGGAACTAAACTTTCACACTCCATTGCCGCAAGCCCCCAGTTACCAACCAAAAAGCGGCCTGCTCCACAACCACCTATGAGCCCACCTGGAAGAGCCCTCCGATCACACCGCCAGGGCCCAAACAACAACGCCCCATCTTCAGCTGGTGAACACAAGAGCTCTCTGTGATGTGTGTCGGGGACCTGCTTAGATAACAGTGTCTTTATCAAATGTTTTCAGAACAAGCAGGAACCCAGTGTGTCTGTAGCTGTCTCTAAGCAGATATGTGTTGTGTTAAGTGACAGAAAACCAAAGACTCTTTCAGACCGTAAAGCAAATCATTCAAATCTGGTGTCTATTAAATGTAGATCTGAGACTACTATAGAAAAAACAGCTAAAACTGTTAAGTTAGCACTTTTAAACATCAGATCGCTCAACAATAAGTCTCTTTTAGTCAATGATTTTATCAACACAAATTGCCTTGATTTTATGCTTTTAAATGAAACTTGGCTAGATGACAGTTGTAGCGCAGCAGTTCTGAATGAAGCAGCTCCTTTAAACTTTGACTTTTTGAGTGTTTGCAGAGTTAATAGGAGAGGTGGAGGCATCGCTGCCCTGTTTAAAGATGTGTATGAATGTAAACAAGTGTCATTTGGTGACTATTTGTCTTTTGAATATCTGAGTATAGCACTAAAAGGTGCTCCACGCATCTTACTGATCATTATCTACAGACCTCCAAAATATTCTCCAGCTTTTATTGAGGATTTTACAGAGCTGTTATCAATTGTAACCTCTGAATTTGATTATTTTAGTATTGCTGGGGATTTTAATATTCACATTGATAATCCAGAAATCAATGCTGTAAAAGAACTGATGACTGTTTTTAACACTTTTGATCTGACTCAGCATGTTCAAGGACCCACACACAATCGTGGACACACTCTTGATCTACTTATAACTAAGGGTTTACACATTTCATCGACTGTTGTTAAGGATGTGGCACTATCTGATCATTTCTGTATCTTTTTTGATATATTGATCACTCCAGCTATTAAAGACAGATCTGTCTCTGTCAGAAAGAGATACATTAATGAGAACACTAGTGAGCAGTTTATGAAGGCCATATCACTAGCACCAAGTATATCTGCAGACTCTGTTGATTCTCTCCTTGATTTGTTCAATTCTAAAATTGAGAATGTCATAAATGACATCGCTCCTGTTAAAGTCAAGAAGATGACTGGCAGGCAAAAGGGATCTTGGACAAGGTCACCTAGAGTACAAATGATGAAAAGACAGTGCAGAAAAGCTGAGCGTATGTGGAGAAAGACAAAACTAGTAGTCCATTATAATATCTATAAAGACAGTCTTCATGCCTTTAATATGGAACTAAACACTGCTAGACAGACTTTCTTTTCAAGCCTTATAAACAGCAACTTAAATAATGCTCGCACACTCTTTGCAACGATAGAGAGACTCACAAACCCCCCCAGTCGGATTCCAAGTGAGCTCCTCTCTGAAAGCAAATGTAATGAGTTTGCTCATTTCTTCACTGATAAGATCAATAATATCAGAAAGGCAATCAGCTCATCCAATCAGTCAAGTTGTGTCGATATCAAACAAGCTCAACCACAACTTAAGAAATCAGAAATTATGTCTGATTTCATGGCAATTAACGGCAAAATCTTAGAAGAAATTGTGCAAGTTATGAAAACATCAACCTGCAGTCTTGACACGCTCCCCACATCATTCTTCAAAACGGTGTTTACCTGTTTAGAAATGGATCTTCTAAAAGTGGTAAATGCTTCACTTCTATCAGGGATTTTTCCAACCTCACTTAAAACTGCAGTTGTTAAACCCCTCTTGAAGAAGAGCAATCTGGATAACACCCTATTGAGCAATTACAGGCCAATCTCAAATCTCCCTTTCACTGGCAAAATCATTGAAAAAGTTGTTTTTAACCAGGTTAACAAGTTCTTAAACTTCAGGGGGTGTTTAGACAATTTTCAATCTGGTTTCAGAGCACATCACAGTACAGAGAGCGCTCTTATAAAGATAATCAATGATATACGCCTAAATACAGATTCAGGTAAAATAACAGTGCTGGTATTGTTGGATCTCAGTGCTGCATTTGACACTGTCGATCACAGCATACTTCTGGATAGGCTGGAAAACTGGGTTGGGCTGTCTGGCACGGTCCTCAAATGGTTTAGATCTTACCTTGAAGGGAGAGGTTACCATGTCAGTATAGGTGACCATAGGTCGAGGTGGACACCCATGACGTGTGGAGTCCCACAAGGCTCGATTCTGGCACCTCTCCTGTTCAACCTTTACATGCTCCCTCTAAGCCAAATAATGAGAAAGAACCAAATCTCCTACCACAGCTATGCTGATGACACTCAGATCTACCTAGCCTTAGTGCCTAATGACTACAGCCCCATTGACACCCTCTGCCAATGCATTGATGAAATGAGCAATTGGATGTGCCAAAACTTTCTTCAGTTAAACAAAGAGAAAACTGAAGTCATTGCGTTTGGGAACAGAGATGAGGTTCTCAAGGTAAATGCGTACCTTGGCTCTAAAGGTCAAACGACAAAAAATAAGGTCAAGAATCTTGGTGTGACTCTTGAGTCAGATCTGAGTTTTAACAGTCATGTCAAAGCAGTCAGTAAATCAGCATACTATCATCTCAAAAACATAGCAAGAATCAGATGCTTTGTTTCTAGTGAAGACTTAGAGAAACTTGTTCATGCTTTTATCAGCAGCAGGGTGGATTACTGTAATGGACTCCTCACTGGTCTTCCTAAAAAGACAGTCAGACACTTGCAGCTCATCCAGAATGCTGCAGCCAGAATTCTAACCAGAACCAGAAAATCAGAGCACATCACACCTGTCCTCAGGTCTTTACACTGGCTGCCAGTTACATTCAGAATAGATTTTAAAGTATTATTACTGGTCTATAAATCACTAAATGGCCTAGGACCTAAATACATCACAGATATGCTCACTGAATACAAACCTAACAGATCACTCAGATCATTAGGATCATATAAACTAGAAGTTGCAAGAGTTCAGTCAAAGCAGGGTGAATCGGCTTTTAGCCACTATGCCCCTTGCTGCTGGAATCAGCTTCCAGAAATGATCAGATGTGCTCCAACATTAGGCACATTCAAATCAAGACTGAAAACACATCTGTTTAGCTGTGCCTTTACTGAATGAGCACTGTGCTGCGTCCGACAGATTGCACTATCATGTTTTTCTCTTCTTCTTCATTCTTTTATATCACATTTTACCTGTTTTTATGTTTTGTTTTGTTTTTACGCATTTTTATTATTTGTTTTTATTTTTATTTTACTTGTTTCTTTTATTCTTGTTTATGTAAAGCACTTTGAATTGCCATTGTGTATGAAATGTGCTATATAAATAAACTTGCCTTGCCTTGCCTTGCCTTACATCACTGGCGCCAACAAAAAAAAAAATTATAAATAAAAGAAATAAATGATAAAATAAAATAAAATAAAATAAAATAAAATAAAATAAAATAAAATAAAATAAAATAAAATAAAATAAAATAAAATAAAATAAAATAAAATAAAATAAAATAAATGTAGATTTTTTTTGTGTCTAGCTTTGTTTGTTCATGTTAAAATAAAAAATATCAGATTCTTCTTCTTCTTCTCAAATGAGAAAAACGTCTCTCATTTGTAATTACGTTTGACGATTTGAGCCACGTGATTCACATTTCATGCTTCTAAGCTTCCATTAAGGGTGCATACTGCATTTCGATGAATTCACTGTGCATTGTGGGACTTTTCAGGGTGCAGGCGTTTCAGTGCACTGGAAAATTTGTGTAATTGAGACAACACTTAAAATGGCTCACGCCCTGATCAGTGCACTGACTAATAAACAAGTGCTTATTGAGATCCCATTTGTCACTTATGGAAAACCAATAATTGGATTAATTAGAATGCATATAATATAGTCAGCAGGATAAAAGAATGACTGTGCCAAAGTTATATTTTAGCATCAGCTGGTGAGGATATCATTAGTCTCACCTTGTCCAAGGCCTCCTGTACGACAGCCTCACTCTCATTATCCAGCGCTGATGTGGCCATGTCTAACAGGAGGATTCTGGGATTCCTGACCAGCGCTCGAGCAATGGCGATCCTCTGTTTCTGTCCTCCGCTCATTTGCCCTCCACCTTCACCAACCAATGTGTCAAATGTCTGCAAAGCACCACGCTTTAATTAGTTTGATCTCCAGAATTAATATGCAAAAATTGCAGAGCTAACATAAAAAAGGTATTTTTTATTAAAAACGTTGAACATGAAACAATTAAGCTGAAAAAAATCTGAAACATTGTGTCGATTTATCTAATTTTAAATAAGTAGTTTGAAAGAGCAGCAAAAATAATTTGAGTGTATTTTGTTACGCATTACACCCAACATTGACTGAGATACGGTTATACAGGGGTGTTCAAACTCAGTCCTGGAGGGCCGGTGTCCTGCATAGTTTAGCTCCAACTTGCTTCAACACACCTGCCAGGAATTTTCTAGCATATCTAGTAAGGGCTTAAGCTGGTTCAGGTGTGTTTGTTTAGGGTTGGAGCTAAACTTGGACACACCGGCCCTCCAGGACCGAGTTTGGACACCCCTGGGTTATGATGTGGTTGTGGTAGTGCATGCACTGATCTTCCACTAGGGTAATCGTCTCACCTGAGGAAGACTCATGATGAAGTTATAGGCATTGGCCTGTTTGGCAGCCTCTATGATCTCCTGCATTGTGACTCCAGCTCTGCCATATCGGATGTTTTCAGCGATCGTGGTGGCGAACAGAACCGGCTCCTGCTCCACGACGCCAATAAGAGAACGCAACCACTGGATGTTCAGGCTTCTGATGTCATGACCATCCAGGGAAACCTGAAAATGACCAAAACAACTGCTGATAGAGAACTAGATATTCAACACCAGACCAGACATTCAATTTAGGATTTAAATGCAAAAACAATATATATTCAGAGTGGCTTTTGCTAATAAATACAATGTGCATAATTACATACACACTGCTCAAACATAAATCATTTCATTTATTAATTTTTCTCAGCTTAGTCCTTTCATTTATTAAGGGTCGCCACAGCGGAATGAACCGCCAACTATTCCGACATACGGCTATGCAGCGGATACACTTCCAGCTGCAACCCAGTACTGGGAAACACCAATACACACTCATAGACTACGGTCAATTTAGTTTACCCAATTCACCTACAGCGCATGTGTTCGGACTATGGAGGAAACCGGAGCACCCGGAGGAAACCCACGCCAACAAGGGGGAGAAGATGCAAACTCTACACAGAAATGCCAACTGGCCCAGCCAGGACTCAAAGCAGTGACCTTCTTGCTATGAGGTGAGGTGGTAAAGACTAAGCCACAGTGCCACCCAGAAGGCATATTAATAATATCAAAATATTACTGGATCAAATGACAGTACCATTCCTTCACTTGGGTCGTAGAACCTTTGGATGAGTTGTATTGTTGTGGTTTTTCCTGATCCGCTGGGTCCAACAAACGCTGTCGTCTCGCCAGCTTTGACCACAATGTTCAAATCATCTAATATCTGAACACAAGAAATACTCAGGTAATACTAGACATAATCTAAAGGGATAATTTACACAAAAATGAACATTTATTCACTCCTTTCTCACTCTTTTGAGTTTCTTTCTTCTGTTGAACACATTACGAAGCAGTGTTGGGTAAGTTACTTTAAAAAAAACAACACTGATTCCAAATTACTGACAACTGCAAAATTGTAATCTTATCACATTACTAATGACTTCATGTAAAAAGTTATCAGATTACTAATTACATTTCTTTGAGGTTACTTTTAAAACATATAAAACCTATGAAAAATACAAAACAAATTAAAGCTGCAAGCAGCGATAAACGGAACCTCGCACCCGGGCTCAACGCCGGCCGGTGGCCTCAGGATGACAGAGAACAGCGAACAATATTAATTTAAGGCGAAATATATAAAAACCTGATAAAATCACAGATTTATGCCAAACTTCCTTCTGTCAGCAGGTGGCGCTATGACTGTGACTCAATATTGGCATGTAGATGTCTTTAAGAGAGGAATCTTGTCGAACCTGAATTTTTAGGCCGGTCTTCCGCAGATTTTCCACAGAATTCCGCAGATTTTAGCCCATCATTAATTCTGTTTATTTACTTGAGAAAATGTGTGTAAATCTATATTTATTCAGTTTTTAAATGTATTACAGTAATATTATTGACTAATATGAAAATGTTCATCTGATTTATGTACAATGCAGTTTGTACAGTAGTTTGTACATATTATATGAAAAACTTGCTTTGTTTACCAAATAAAGTGAATCTTATTAGATTTGCAATTTAAACATTAAATAGAGGTTAAAAAGGTAATACTTTTTATTTCACATATTAAGGTTTAGGTTATGATACTCCCAAAATAATTCCGCAGAAATCCGCAGATTTTCACCAAAATTCTCAGCAGAAATAGCAAAAAACTGTCCGCAGATTCAGTCTGGCCCTGGTCATAAGCCAAACTTTCTTCTGTCAGCAGGTGGCGCTATGGTTGTAACTCAGTATTGGCATGTAGATGTCTTCAGGAGAGGAATTTTGTTGAACAAGAATTTTTAGGCAGGTCGACATTGTTACCGAGTTATAAGCCAATCTTCCTTCTGTCAGCAGGAGGCGCTGCGGTTGTAACTCAGATTGGCATGTAGATGTCTTCAGGAGAGAAATTTTATCCACCATGTGAAGTTTCAGGCAGGTCAGACATTGTGTGGTTGAGTTATAAGCCAAACTTCCTTCTGTCAGCAGGTGGCGCTATGACTGACTCATTATTGTTATGTAGATGCCTTTAGGAGAGGAATCTTGTCAACCATGTGAAGTTTCAGGCAGATCGCACATTGTGTGGCTGAGTTATAAGAACTTCCTGTTTCATGGCAAAGCACTGAGGTTTATCATGCCACCACGGACACGCTCCTCGGTGAAAACTCCAGATCTTCACAATATATCATCGCAAGGGCTTTCAGATAACACCACCCAACTTTGGTGCTGACACGATAAAATTTGTGCGATTAGTTTGTTACACCGTAAAACATGTAATTTCCTGTTGCCAGCAGGTGGCGCAATAACTGTATCTGGATATTGCCATGGAAGCGTGTTCAGGTCAGGACTCTTATCAAACGTGTGAATTTTGAGGCAGATCGGACAATGCAGCCTGAGTTATAACAACTTTCTGTTTCATGGCGAATCGGCAAAGTTTGCGAGGCCACCACAGACATGCCCTTCGACGAAAACTCTAGATCTTCGCAATTTAACATTGCCAAGGCCTTTAGATGAAAAAACCCAATTTTGGTGTTGATCGGATAAAATCCCTAGGAGGAGTTCGTTGAAATACAACGCCTGACACTTTTTTGGCACAGCAAGTTAAAAATATCCTGTTAGGTTTGAGATTTCGATCCAAGAGACTTTTTCGTATGTTTTGACATATTTGACATGTGTGCCAATTTTCATGCATGTGCATGAATTATATCTCAGGGGCCAGTCTGTCAAAAGTGCATAGGTGGCACTGTTGAGTCATTTTGCCATGCCCACTTCCGAAACCTATAACGAATGTGCAAAGTTTCGTGACTTTTCGTGCATGTTTAGATCCTCAAAATCGCGATTCATTCTTTAAAAGAATCAGTGGTCCGTCCCTGATAAACTGAAGCTCTTTTTGAGTAATTTAATATTCACTAAAAACATTACAAAGGGTTGATCACAGCAGTTTGACATAATCTAACGACTTAAAGAGCCGGTATTAAAGGTTTTTGAAAATGAGCTTCCATGCAGTGTGCAGTAAATGAAAACATCCAGCTGAGGTTTACATCTGACCAAATAGTCGACTCGGAGTCGAATAAATAAATCCCGTTGGGTTCGGGTCACCAAATATGTAGTACCAGATGTAAGTAAAATGTGAACGCACTTTCCATTCAGACACTAGCGGAGGTGCGAGGGATCAAAGGACTGATCATGACACGAAGATGACGATTACTGACAGATGGAGATTAACGGTGAAAGTTCATTCTCACAACAACACCACAGTATAGCGTAGCACATAGTATATGTGCTGTGTTTGTTCCTGTCATTTTTCTGATTTTGTATACAATAACCTACACTCCAACGTGGGATTCGCCGGCCGTTTGCTGTTAAAGGAAGGAGCAGCAGAGACTATTATGTATGGGACTTTGTCAGACTTTGACAGACTTTGTCAGTAATTATTACAGTTCATTTGGACCAGTTTCTTCTTCCACCGGATCAAAACATGTAAGTGTCATTAAAATTGTTGCCTCGTTTTGTGTAGTTTATATGTGTTTAATCGTGTGTTGTAAGTTTTAATCACTCTACTTGGCTTGTGATCACTTATCTATTATAGATTAGTGCTTGTACTGTACCTCTCAGGCTAAATCTGTATGAGGCTGTTCACATATCGCGTCCAAAATTGTTAAAAACATGACGCGTGCTTCTTCCTTTACCGATTTAAATGCTTTTCTGAATTTGCGATGCTCTGTCTTTTGTCTTTGCTATGGCCACCATCAGCTGGTCCTCACACACGGCGTGGTAAATTTTCTAAATAGTTCAACTTTTGGAACAATTTTTGGATTAATACTGAATGTGTGTCGTTGTTATTACGTGGGATTAGGATTAAGAGTAGTGTAATATGTTGGTGTTTAACTGCATTGCTTTATTGCATTCCTACATCGGGCTCACACATACACGCTGCTACTTCATTGCTGGGGTGTGCATTTCTCTCCGTCTCGCTCTGAACGCAGTCGACCAATCACAACAGATTGGGTCATCAGTCTAATCAGCGCAGATTAGCTTCGCGCTAAGAAGGGTTTGGGAACAAATTAATCACTGAACGATTCATATGGCATGGAGACAGACCCCCCACTCCCTGCTCTTGACTTTCACCCCCAACAACCCCTCACACAAACACCGCACAAAAGATCAGTATTAAATTCATTCATATGCATGCAAAAAAAAAAAAACATAACCCACCTTTACTTCAGGACGGGAGGGATAGTTGAAGTTAACGCTGTGAAATTCAATGTCACCTTTCACTTTATCTAAAGTGTGACCTTCGTCAGAGAAGCAGTCGATTTCTGGTTCCTGTATGAGGACAGGTTGTGACAGTGATTAATTTTTCACTGAAGCTGAAAGAATGAAATTCATTGATTTTGAGAGCGTGTGTGTGTGTGTGTGTGTGTGTGTGTGTGTGCATATGGGTTTTTCTCACTCTGTCAATGGTGTCAAATATACTCTTGGCTGCAGCTCGACCTGAAGCAAAAGCCTCCAGACAAGGAGAAGCCTGACCCAGATTCATGGCCCCGATCAGAACACCAAAGAACACCTGAAGAATTATAAGAAGTCAGAATGATTAGCCCTGCTGTGTTTGTCTTTACCAAATATTTCCCAAATGATGTTTAACAGAGAAAGGAAATTTTCACAGTATTTCCTATAATATTTTTTTTCTTCTGGTGGAAGTCTTATTTTGGATAGAATAAAAGCAGTTTTTATTTTTATATTTTAAGGTCAATATTATAAGCCCCCTTACGCAATTTTTTTTCGATTGTCTACAGAACAAACCATCGTTATACAATGACTTTCCTAATTATTCTAACTTTCCTAATTAACCTAATTAAGCCTTTTAATGTCACTTTAAGTGGAATACTAGCATATTAAAAAATATCTAGTCAAATATTATGTGCTGTCATGGCAAAGATCAAATAAATCAGTTATTAGAAATAAGTTATTAAAATTATTATGTTTAGAAATGTGTAGAAAAAAATCTCCTTTTCGTTAAACAAAATTTGGGGAAAACATTTTTTCAGGGGGCAGAAGTATAAACCAGTCTTAATAATTCAGGAGGGCTAATAATTCAACTGTCAACATAATTTAACCATTCTTTAACCATTTTAATCAGCTGGGCACATTACAGAACAGTCAAAATTCTATGCTCAAATATAAATGCTTATGTGCATTAACAAATAAGATATTTATTAGTGGTGAGCTGTTATCGGAGTTAACGTGCTGCGTTAGCGCACAACTCTTTTTGGGCAATAAAAAAATATCGCTGTTAATCTATTCTCAAAGTTGGGTTGGGAGCTGGGTCCATTCTACGCAAGCTATGATGACTTTCACCTTGATATTTTAGTGAGGATCTATACCTGGCTGAATTGCACTGTAGGTCACGAGATCGAGCCTTCGAATCTGTGTGTATTCCTACTGTGAAATTCCCACTTCAAACGTGACGTGCTAACATGGATGCAGTTCACTAGAGTGAATCTGATTAATGTTAGCTCCACAACTAACTATCAGGCACCTGTAGAGTTTATGCGTTCGAGTAAAACATATACAAATAAAATGGACTGGGTGATTTTTAAAATGAATGACGGTGAATGAAAGTCAAACCGGTGAGCCGCCAGACAAAAAAAGTGCCCTTCTGAATCAAATCTGCAGGATGCTCTTCTGGATGTTTCACTTACTTCAAAGACAATACTGACTATGCGCACATGGACATCAGTAATAGTTATTTTCCTTAAAAGACAATGATATGATTTAGGTGTTTATGCGAAGTGCTTTTCCTGTAATTTTGGGTGACTTTAACTGCAACTTGGCAGTTTCACTTTCACTCATGAACATTTCATTCATGCCGCCATGACAAACTGGAGTATTAGACGCAGATAAGGAGTGAGGACTGGTGAGAGTGTTGTGGAAATTAGTAACGCACGCAAAGTGGAAAGAAAAAACTTTTGCATTTTGTGATGTGTGTATGTGTGTGTGTGTGGTCCTTTACTGACAGTCGCGTGTGTGGATCTTGTCAGAAAATATGGCCAAGTCCTACATGATGGCAATAGTTTGATCGCGGTGTTTACTTCAATAATGCCACTAATATCTGCATCCTCCACATGTCTTAATTCCATTTCTGTTTAGTTCATTTATGACTTTAGTGGGATTAAGGTAATCAAAAATCGCTGTTTGGAGCTTATAGTTCAAAACTCATGTTTAACTGAATAAACATTAAACACAAGTACATCTTATTAAACATCATTTATTTTCATCACCAATTATCATAGCAGAACAGTTTCTCAAGCAGTTTGTGATGCATTCTGAAAACAGGAGATGAGCCCCTGGTCTAATGCGCCACCTGGCTTGAGAAACCTGTTCTCCAAGACTTATTATTTGGGTTGCACACATATTCTGAATGTCTTCGGCAAAATTCAAATGAGCCATTGTAATCTGGATTAACCTATATTAATACCAAGATTACAGTGAGATTAATCTAGATTAAAAAAAAAATCTATGCCCACCTATAATGTTAATTTATTCATTCATTCATTTTCTTTTTGGCTTAATCCCTTTCAAGTAAAATATATACACAAATAAAAAACTATTTTATTCAAATGTAAAATATCTGTAAATAAATAATGTTTTGTTAAAAACTCACTATTTATCTACCCATTAACATCTTTAAATTTGACCTTTTAATTAAAAAATTGTAGTAATTTACTTTTAACCATGGAATTTTCCTTTTTGTTGTTGCCATTGTTGTTTTAAAATATGCACATTTACTGTACTTATATTTATATATGTTCCAGTTTTAATTTAAATTATTTTAGCTCATTTCTTTCTGTTGAAATAGTAAAAAATAGTTAAAAAACAGCAACAAATAAATTAAAATAAACAGTCCATATCAGTAAAAACTAAGCAAATATTCACTTATAAACGGTGCACACTTCTGAGCGGGGAATACACAGCAAAACCCTCTAAGTAAAATTCACTGATAAAAAGCAAAGCTGCTGTTTGTAGAGTTGCCTAATGATCCTGTGCTGAGATTTTGAGAGATTCGATGTATTATATTTCACCTGATTTCATCTAGAGCTGTGACTGATGACAGATGTAGTTTTGTGTTTCTCTGCTGTGTGTCTGCTTATAAACAGCAGGTGTTCATCATCAGTGCTCAATCATTGCTTAAATAATCCTTTCATTGTCTCATTAACTTAACTTAAAATAAAGGTCTCACGCAGTCAAGTGATGCAATTTCGCAGGTCAAAGTTCACTAAGCTTGAACTTTCCAATGCAGCGAACTGCGAAACTCGTCGCACGACCTTGCGTTTCCAGGCTGACGCATTCACGTGCGTATGAATAGAAGTCTATGGGGAGAAAAGTGCAGTGTGACCGCAGCTTTACTCAATACTATCTAAACTGAGTAAACTTTACTCAGAGGATTTACTTGTGTATATGATGTTTGTTAGTTTAATTCAAAGTCCACAATAAATTATATTTTCACTTGTGCTTAAAAATCGAACTACTTCATCCGAAATATTAATATATGATTTAGTTTTTGTTGCTTGTTTATTGACACCCTGCATACATGCATTTAAATAGGATTACAACATGAACACATGAAAAATAAAATGCTTTTTTGTTTGAAAGCAGAGTCTTGGTTCTTTATTTTGATATATAATATGCTCATATATTCCAAGCAGAAAATATTTAAAAATGTAGGAAAAAAATATTAAAAATGTTGGTGGCTGGCAACTATTTTTTTTCTAAACGCCGGCAGGGAAAGAGTAAGGTAACAAACATATTTAATAGTTTTAATTACAAATAATACCCTTAAGGAACAGACCGGAGTTTAAATGTGTGAAGATGTTGTTTTGAACAGAAAAATTAAATTCTGAGAGTCATTTCTACCTGAACGAGTCCTCCAGGTGTGAGCTCCTGGGTCTCGATGACCAGTTTAGAGCCGAACCAGAAGGCGAGAGCGTAACACAGGAATATGATGCACCAGAGATAGCCCTGAAACACCCCGATGATCATGCCCTTCTTTATGCCCCACTCCTGCGCCTGCACCAGATTCCTGTCATACCTGCGGGCATAAACCACACAACAGTTTCTGCCTGTACAGCTTTTGCCAGCCAGCAATTTAGCATCATATGTCAAAAGTTTGACTTTTTATCTCCCAAATTTGACTGATGTCATCATTTTAATGTATACCAAATCAAAATTATGCAATTCTTAGGCTCAAATTAATGAACTAAGACAAAAAAAAATGATGACTTGATCAAAATTAGCACTTTACACATAATTTACACACACACACACACACACACACACACACACACACACACACACATTATATATATATATATATATATATCCCTGCTTAAATAAATACACAACTAAGGAATAGTGCAGGCTGATAAATAATGAAATAAATAAAGTCACTACATGTATAAGTATACCGATACCCCAACACATAATTCAAAGCACAAAATGCCGGAATATCAAGCAAGACCAAAAGTGATGGATCTACTAAACCGTAAGAGGGCGGATTAATCGTTTGCATGCCTGGTTCTCTCTTCATGGCCCTCGGGGCGTGGTCAAAGCATAGCGGCCGGATCGTCTGTCAATCAAACGGCCAACTTGGGCGAGTTGTAAGTGTCCAAGGGCCTTTACGTGTCCCCCAGGCCCGCCTCGCACTCCCACGTCCTAGTACATGGTATTGTTTGCCGTTCTTGACATGAATAGGCTCGTTTGAGGTGCGCCTTGCCTCGACTGCATTGTAAACGAGAGCAGGCGTGCGCAGTAAGAGGAGGGCTCAAAAATTACATTAGAAGTCGGACACCTGCCGAATCTCGCTGTTTAAGCCACCTGGAAACGTCACCAGTGAGTATATAAACTGCTTTTACTCCAGCCAGATTAAAATAAATAGCCCTAGACTTTCTCCACAATAAAAACTATTAGACTGTAGGAAAAACTGTGGAAATGTTCTTGGTCTATTAAACATGACTTTTGACTCCACATACATATACATATACATATGTGTGTGTGTGTGTGTGTTTGTGTGTGTGTCTTGTTTACTACACCCTTTTCACTTCTCATATGAAACCACACAAAGATGAGGCATAATGACAAAACAGTCTGATTATCTTTGTATTTCTGAATATATGTATATATTGGATTGACTTTAATGGAATAATGCTGCATAAATATTACAATACAAAATTCACACAAACATACAAAAAGTGAAAATGACAAAACAGGACTTAAGACTGAGAGAGAAATAGAATACAGCACACACATCCTAATGATTTATTAATAACATTTAGTTATATTGGATAGGTCAAGTTATGTTTTACAAAGATGTGTTTTTTTTTGTTTGTGTGTAAATCTAAATAAATAACCATATGTAATGCTCTTTATGACTTTTTTTTAATTATCAACGAAAATACAAAAAAGGTATTCAACAAATCCAGGTATAAACCTTAGTAAAACAAGATAATAAAGTGTAATGTGTCAGTCTCATCCAATCAGCATTAAGCTGTGTCGTCAGCCAGTCGTTTCCCATCATGCTTTTAGTGAGCGCAGTCTTTTGAGAGCAACTGCGGCCGACTGCTATATCCGAGGTACCCGCCTCGCGATCGCGAGAGATTTTTGACGCACGTCAGCGTGACATCAGAGCGAGGCGAAGGCAAGGCGGACACATTTCTAACCGGCATGCATCTTGCGGTGATCACCGGTGATGGAATCTGCGCAGATTATTGCCAAGTCAAACGAGCCTATTTCCACACAGAAGGCGGAAAAGGCAGGTCTGGCACAGCAATCCTCTTGATTGGTCGTTCGTTGCCGCAATGCATTCTGGGCAGCGCACTTCGCCCTTTAAAACGGCTACAAATGGAATAAAACTAAGATTTAAACAAGCCAAAATGACAGCACGTTTCTCGAGGAGATGGGTGGCGTCTACCTTTGCAGTCTAGGCGATGGTTGTAAATGTGGCCTACCGTCGATGAGAAACAGCGCTCCTACCGTATGTATAAAAGGCAGTCTGCGAAGCTGCTCGGTTACGGACCCCGGGTGCCAGGACGGCTGTTCAAATTGAGCTCTTCCAAAGTGACCCAAAACAAGCGATATCAATTGGCAACAAGATTCGGCCCAAGTTTCGGATCCTATGCAGCCGATGGGGCCCGGGGCCATTTTTTATTTGTTTTTACACTTGTACCTTTTGTCGTCCTTGACCACAAGCTATGGTGGACCACACCTCCTAGCTGAAAAATCCATAAATCCCTGCATAAATTAAAAAATAAATAAATATGCAAATAAATAAATGAATGAGTACATACATCCACAAATCCCTGCTTAAATAAATACACAACTAAGGAATAGTGCAGGCTGATAAATAATGAATTTTTTTAATTATTTCTTTTCAATATTGTCCTATTTCTCCAACATTGGTGCAATGTACTTGACCGTTTATCAGGCCGCACTATTGATTGTTTCTATATTTATTTATGCAGGAATTGAGGGATTCCTCGATCGTTCCCTTGTCAGCCGGCAGAGGTCACTCTATAAAACATGGGTACGGCGACTCAGTGGCTCAATGGTTAGCGCGCTCGCTTCGCAACAAGAAGGACCCGGTTTCAAGACCTGGCTGGAGACCTGCACTGTTGCAGCCTGGCTCGACGTGGGGACCGCATCTCTGGACTATCGCTTTCATTTCGCAATTTTCTTTTGCCTTTTCATAATATCAAATTTACACATGTGTGTTCAGAACGTTGTTGTTAGTAGTTAACGACAGAATTATTTTCACTTTTGACTCAACTAATCCCTTATGAAAACTGAGGGGCCACGAATTATTTTTCCTTTTGCCCTCAAATATGACACGTTTAATGACAAGGATGACAAAATTCATATGTCGAAATGAACATGAAAAAACACATCAACTGCTTGCTAGGTTGCTATCGAAAATCCAGCATGTAATGCACATTTAAAATAAGGAATATTACACACAAATAATTTTAATACAAATCGTTTCATTCCAAAAACTCAAATGACATGCATGCGTACGACACGAATGCACATTGAAAGAACCGGAAAAAAACACTTTCACAATAACGATAACAAACCTTAATATTATATAAATTCTATTAATTATATAAACAAATTTAAGAGCTTTCCTTTAAACCCCTTCAGCACTGCTGCATGTTTTGCTCCTTGTTGCTGTTGTTGTTCTAACATAATTTTGCCTCGTTGAACTCAGGAGAGTGCCCCAGTCACATACATCGGAGTAGATTGATGAATATGGTCTTTTACAGAAAACCCTCCCAATTTTAAGAGGCATATGTCATATGGCTGGGCGATTTGGCAAATAAAAATCTAGATTTTTTTTATAAAGTTTGACCGATTCAAGATTTCGATTTTTTTTCCCAACATGACTGAAGTAACAATATCTTTATAAGTAAATTGAAAAACTATCTGGTTAAGGACCATTGTATTTTAATGGCCATGCCATATATAAATTGTTTCAATTAGGTTTATTTATTTATTTATTTATTTTTTGCTTGTAGCAAGGATGAACACAAAAATCTTTGAACAGAATATATGAATAATAGCAGAATGATAGGCTGTTCCTAGCCTATCAAGAGCCTATCAATAGCCATAAATACGTAAGGCATACTCATTGTGTGTGTGTGTGCGTCTTTTATCACTTAAGCCGCTCTCTTTAAAAAACGAAGTTGCTTTGTCTGTGTGGCAATATTTCGGCTTTTAATCGAATGAAAAGTTAATTTAGTTGAGCCAATATTTTAAAAAATGCTGTGAAGTAACTGTGACGTGCGGCCACACATCGAATCTGAGGCCTGATCTCTCGCTGTCACCCGCAGACAGACGCCACACAAGTCAAGTCGCAAAACTAAGGCTGGTATCTCTGAAAGGAAGAATAGCTGAAGCCGAAATCTGTCAAAATACAGCGCTAAAATTAAAATGCATTCATGTTTTTGAGCCAAAAGTCTATTTGTAAATATCTGTAAACGCAATCAGAGCCAATATGGAGAAAATGTACCGCCTAATAGGGCCTAATTAGCTATAATCATTTAAATAAAATGAAAAAAAAAATCATTGCATTTTTCGTTTGATAGAAAATATACAGAAAAAAAACACAAAAAAACACAAAAAAACCAAAGGATGGCTTGGTTTGTATTAATGTGTTTTAATATTAATAAAAAATATGCTTACTCCATTTATATAGCTACGCCGCCAACAGACAAGCCATTCAAAAATTATTATTTCACTGTGTACAAGGTTATTGTTTATATTTTTCAATAAAAACTAAACGTAGCATGTCTCCCTATCATTTAAAACATGCAATTCATAACACACTGGAGCTGTAGGCCTATAAGCAGTGTGTAAACTTTCAGGGCGGTGTTGGTTAAAGCGCACCACGGTATTAAACTCCAATACCTCCGAGGGAGAATATGTTACCCAGTTTTAAGAATAAAAGGCATTTTAAAATAAGAACAAGTAACAAATAAAAACTGGTCCCGTGGACTTTAGCATCTGTTCTCTTGCCAGTGTGTGCGGCGAGTGTGTAGCGCTCTTTTAGCGCATCTCAACTCCCGGTTTGTGAGAGAGAGAGCGCGCGCGTAAAGAGCTCAAAGCCGGCATATAACCAAAAGCAAGATCATGTCGTTATCAATATTCCGTTAACACTATTTATCGAAATATTTATATGTTTACATGGTGTTTATTGAGATTGTGTGATCTGTATAGGCTGATCTTTACAGAAGCCAGCCTGAGCAGCCGATCAGCGCGGTTCAAACTATAAGATCGGCGCGGTTGTTTAACATGGCAGATTTTCCCGTCCTTCATACGTGTAGAGAGATCGAGTTTATCGACATGATAAGGGAATTTGTCTTGACAATCCAAACAGACGTGACTTAATAAAGCGTGAATTCATGAAGGATTTTACTTGTTGCTAGTCTAAATGTAAATCCCCTCGTCAGGCAGTGCTGGAATAGCGAAGTGGATCAAAGCGCGTTTGATCCAACGGTATTAAAAAGACAAAAATACACAACTTAAGATAAATGCTTGTATTTGTTGTAATTGCACCATGCAGCTTTGCAATGCATTCCCACAACTTCATGCAATGGGTGAAATTAGGCTGTCCAATCTGTGTTCAGTCCCTCACTACCATGATTGAAACTCTGACAGGCAGTCAGGTATAGCCTAATACAGAGAGTAAACCAAAGCGCAGTGGTGCAATTATAATGTATCTGGTTTTTATTTAAGGAATCGCGATACCCCGATTTGATACGAAACAAATTCGTCTTTAATTCGAATTAATCGGAAAAAAAACGCCTAGCCCTGATATGTTGGATTTTGCACATTTCAGTTCATTGCATTTTAATGTTTCCTTTGTGTGATCTTCGATCTGTTTGGTCTCTTTCTGAATGTTTGAACAAAAGTTTTGAACAAAATAAAAAGCTTCTGTGTCTCATAAAAAATCATGTCATTGAATTAACATCAATATTTTGGTATTGATATTAATATTGATATTTCAGCTTCTCCTAGAGCACCAAATAATGTTGTGATAATTTCTTTGCTTTGACTTGAGTATTGAAATGAGCATACTGATATTAATATTGAGATTTTGGTCCCTTCACTCTTTAGGTGTGTGTAAATAACACACACACACACACACACACACACACACACACACACACACACACACACACACACACACACACACACACACACACACACACACACACTACGCCCAATTTAGTTAATTCAATTCACCTACAGTGAATGCCTTTGGACAGTGGGAAAAACTGCAGCACCCGGAGGAAACCCACACCAACAAACTCCACACAGAAATCATGTGGAACTTTAATGCAGTTAAAACCTGCCTAGAACTACTTCAGCTGTGTGTTTATCTGAAAATAACTGCACACCTTAAAACTTTTATTAGCCAATCAGAATCAAGCATTCTACAGCCAGTATTAAACTACCATTAACCTGAGCAGCAAATGTCTTATCAATTATGATCTTACTGTGCAAAATACTTCCTTTTAAAAATATTTCATTAATATGCATTAAAAACAACTATCCTTCCTATTTTTTGGAAATTAACTGATCAAATTAATACGATTTAAATTAACCTCTCTTTTTCCTCATCACTTTTCACTATCTAAATAAATAATTACAGATGAAAGAAAGTTCAATGTTGTGGTTCTCTCACTGAAAAGCAAAAGTAAACAAGTTTTTGCAATTGAGGAAGTACCTCTCTGCCTCTTTGTGTTCTCCTCCGAAAGCGGCCACTGTTCTGATGGAGGACAGCACTTCATCAGCCACCGCTCCGGCTTTAGCATAAGCCTTCAGCTCACGACCCGTCAGCCTCGCCACTGCCTTCAGGACAATACAAAACTTTTATTTATTATACATCTATATCAGGGGCGTTGCTAGGGTCAGAGAGATAAGGGGCTTAGCCCCAAAGACTACATTCTGAACTAAAAAATCCTCAAAAGTTTATTATTTTGTCCAACAGCAGCAATATTTGTCAAACTGTAGAGTGTCCTCAGCTTGTTCCTGTATGTGGGCGCAGTAATACACAAGGGTAAAGGGTGAAGAGGTTGGACGAGTAATGTTACTGGCAGAATATTGCACGGCTAACAGACAATCATATTGAAGAACCATGTATATATATAATTCCAAGATGACGATATATATATATATATATATATATATATATATATACATACACACACACACACATACATACACACAAACACATATACACACATATATATATATATATATATATATATATATATATATATATATATATATATATCATCATCATCTTGGAATTATAAGGTTCTATTTGCGTTCTGAATGATTTTGACATATTGAGCTTCAAAGTTTTTGCATTCCATACAGAGAACCGCATGTGTATAACATTTGTTTTTTCAACAAAGTCTTAAAATGTAAACAACTTATATATAGAAAAACATCCCCATAATGTAAATAAGTTGTCATTTAATAAGAATGTCAATAACTCAATTTTGACAAAAATGTCAGATAGAACCTTGTAAATCTAAGGTGATAAATATATATATGTGTGTGTGCGTGTGTGTGTGTGTGTGTGTGTTTGCGCACATGCATGTATGTATTTATTTTATTTGAATATATTTGTATTGTTTTTTTTTTAATGTAGCCCGTCTGAAACTTTAATTTCAAAGAATTTCTGACTGGAAAAACTGTAATAACAATAATTTAATTTGGGTTCATTATTAAAAATGAAAACAACTTTTCATAATTTAGCTTTTAGCATTAATTCATTTTTAACAAAACTTCTAAAACAACAACACACCAAATTCATTTAGCATCTTTTTTATCCTTTTTTCTTCTAAACATTAAAATAGGACTTTAATTTTTTCTGCAGTGCACGCAACATTTAATGCTATAATTTAATACATTTAAAACATTCTGATCTAAATGAAGAATAATCGAAAAAGAACTTAAAGACACAGATACCCCAAATCTCTTTAAAAATTACCCATAATTAAATTTATTTTTTAATTATGTCCTAATTTACTCACCTGCTCTCTGTTTCAAAAAAGTTTCTTTCTTTTGTTGAAGACATAAGAAGATATTTCGAAGAAAGCAGTAAACCTGTAACCATTGACATCCATAGTATTTGTTTTTCCTACTATGGAAGTGAATGGTTACATGTTTTCAGCTTTCTCCAAAATACTCTATCTTCTTTTGTGTTCAACAGAAGAAGAAAAAAAGAGGGTGAATAAATAGTGAGTAAATGTTCATTTTTGGGTGAACTCTCCCTTTAAGGCCTTTATCTGTAATATGTTGAATTAAGTGTTTGTAAACCCCACACAATCCCTGACTCCAGTCTCCTTCATATTGATTTGTCTGTGGTGAAACTGACCATAGCCATGAGTCCTGCGGCGAGGCCTAATAGAGGACTGACTGCGATGACCACCAGTGTCAGCTTCCAGCCGCCGATGAAGCCCACCATGAAGCCGAATATAAACGTGGAGATCCTCTCAATGAAGATGGACACCTGGTCCGCTATAGCGTTGTTGATTTTGTTGATGTCACTGCAAAAAAGTAACAAACATGCTAAATTAAACTAGTATCTATGCAAGATGAAATGAGCAGAAATACTTAAAGATGCATTCACTGTGAGATTAATTTTTCATTTCATGCACAACATTGTTGTTTTTTTCTACAGCTCCAGCAAAGTTAACCCTCGTGTGCTCTTGGGGATGTTTTCATCCACTCTGAGGGGAGTTTGAGTCTTAATTTGGCCACAAATATCTGTTTCAGCAAATAGGGTGATTTTTGGTGACAAATTTTATTTTGACACACATTTTAAGAAAATGCTCTAAAATCTTAATAAAAAAAAAATAAAATAAAAAAAACAACAATACACTCTGGGCAAATTTACTATCCTTTCGTTATGTTGGTGTCTGTTTTTGCCCCATTGACTTCCATTAAAATGACATTTTTTTGTTTGCAAAGCTATGACACCATATAATCATGCATTCATGATTGTTTATGTTTTTCCCTGTTGGGAAGAGGTACAGTGTGTCTGTTACGACTGTAGTATATTTATTTGTTTATTATTGCGGTTTGTACTCTTTTTCTTTTGTCCCGCCTCCTTGCTGTTCTTCTGTTGTCTTATAGGCTCCCACGCCGGCGTGATTCCCTGCTCTGATTGGCTGCTGGTCTACGAGGCCTGTATAAAAGGGAGCTTCCGGCAGGAATCGGAGAGCTCATTTCTGCTGCGTTCGGTGTTTGGAGTGGAGCTCCTGGGTTTCCCTCACCCCTTCGGCCGACGACCAACAATAATCAACTTTGTATTGATGACCATCCTATGATTGAATATTTTTTGAGAGTTTGAGCGTGTAGGGGTGACCTGCCTATTTATTTGATTACTTCTGACTTTGTTTATGTTAGGGAGTAAGGTAAGATTCTTGTATTTTTATTTAAATAGTAACAGGTAATTTAGTGGATTTATTTTATAGATTCTTTTGTTTATTATTTTGGCCTGTGGTCAAAACCACAAATGCTCGAAATGCTCATTTAGATAAACCCTATTTTTCTATAATAAATATCTTCATATATACTCTCAATTGAGTGTGTGAGTTTGGTTGTCGACTGAAGGGAATCTTTTGCTTTAAGTTTTGTTTAGTTTTGGGAAATCCACCACCCCAACACAATTGTTTGTTCTTCGTTTATTATGCCCGTTTTGTTTCCCCTAGACTTGGGGCGTGATAGTGTCATTTTTACTGTTGATCATCAGTTACAGTGCAAAAAAGCTTGGTTTCTGGCTTTAAAGGGCACCTATGGTGAAAAATCTACTTTTCAAGCTGTTTGGACATACATGTGTGTAAGTGTAGTGTATATACTGTCATATTGGGGTGAAATATACACACCCAGTCCTTTTTTTTTAATTTAACAACATAAAAACGGTGGACCAATTGGAGCGGTTTTCAGATCGACTGCAACTTTACGTAGGAGTGCGGTCCCCCCGCCCACCAATATTGATTGACAGCTGCGCGCATTAACATGTCTCCGTAGTAATGCATATACTCATATCGACAAGACAGGACGAGCGCAAAGCAACCGAGAATGAAAGGTCTGTTCAGTTCGCAAGGATCATCAATCATCATCAGACGTAATCAAGAGTGAGTTTTACAAGTTTAACATGTTTTAAAACGTGTGCACTTGTGTGATGAAGTACAGCCATTCACTTCAAATTTACTTCATCAGTACAGCCGCGTGTCTCTCTCACTGTCTCTGTGTGTGTGTGTGTGTGTGTGTGTGTGCGCTATGTATGTGTGTGTCTGTGTGTCTGACTGTCTATGCTATGTATGTGCCTGTGTGTGCGCTATGTATGTGTGTGTCTGTGTGTCTGACTGTCTATGCTATGTATGTGCCTGTGTGTCTGCGCTACGTGTCTGTGCTAAGTGTGTGTGTGTGTATGTGTGTCTGCGTGTGTGCGCTATGTATGTCCCTGTGTGTCTGCGCTACGTGTCTGTGCTATGTGTGTGTGTGTGTCTGCGTGTCTACGCTATGTATGTGCATGTGTGTCTGCGCTACGTGTCTGTGCTATGTGTGTGTCTGCGTGTGTGCGCTATGTATGTCCGTGTGTGTCTGCGCTACGTGTCTGTGCTATGTGTGTGTGTCTGCGTGTCTACGCTATGTATGTGCATGTGTGTCTGCGCTACGTGTCTGTGCTATGTGTGTGTCTGCGTGTCTGCGCTGTGTGTGCGTGAACTCGTTGCAACTCCACAAAAAATGCCTCAAATTCTGTTTGGTAAAGTTCTTACTGTAGTATTTCTCACAAACGTTACGCGAGATCTGCTTCTTGAGGCAGCTGTGGGCGGCGATTGAGGCATGTTGCTGACAGGCACGTGGGAACGGTGAGCGGGAATGACTCGCCTTAAAGGCCCAGTGCAAAAAACAGCAACAACCTTTTCCCAGCTATAATACAGACACTTCAAACAGCTATAATAAATACTTTGGGTGTTTTGAGCTGAAACTTTACAGACACATTCTCGGGACACAAGAGACTTATAATAAATATGAAAAAAGGGGTAACCTATGTGCCATTTAATATTGAGTTATATAGAGTACAGTGAGTGTGTGTGTGTGTGTGTGTGTGTGTGTGTGTGTGTATGTAAGAGTGTAAGAGATACCTTTGCTCACTTATCTTGATTTGCTTGAGATAATCTAAATAAGCAGCTCAGCTCTCAAAACATGGTAAACTAAGGCCCAAACCCTCTTTCCCTTACCCCTACCCCTCGTTTTGTACATTCACGTGAAGAGGTGTCACAATTCTCTTGAAGGCGTAGGGCCAAGCGGAAGGGGTGGAAAGCCCTTCGAACAAAGATTTTTCAGGACCACACTCGAAACCAAGTGGTATGAAAACTTCCCAGAATACACCATCTACAATGACAGCATGGCTGTACCCGGAAGTCAGGAGATCCACAAATTCATATTTTTTATCATTATTACGAATTTTTACAATAAACAAGCACATGATTTGATATATTCATAACTATGTTGGTGTTTTATCATCATGCTTTTTTAAAAAAATGATAAAATAAAAACTACTAAATTAGGCTATCTATAATCCATAATAATAACTCCTGTACAGCAGTTCTATAACATTCTGACACTCGGTGACACTCGAATACCCTGTCAGAAGAGTTAATGGCTGGGAATGGGCTTTTTATAGTGTCTGCTATAATGTTAATTTTGTTCTCGTGTGTCACAGTTTTTCTCAAAACAATTAGTGCAAACTGCAAAACCTAGCTGATAACCTGCAAATGCGTGTCACATGCTCAAAATGGATAGTTCATTCCTCAAAAGCAAGTATTCATGTCAATCAAAGTGTCAGTGTCATCAAGATGAAAAGTCCTGACACCATTGTTTATGAACAAGATAGTCAAATGGCTTAGTCATGTTTTCATTATGACGTTTACTCTTTTACATTTTTTCAATGCAAAAAAGTCAGATTTTGGTGACACTTCCTAAAAATGCACTGTATACTATTTGCACAGCCATTTGAAAACTACAGTAAAGTTAGACATCACTGCATTTAGTGAGGTATCTGAGTACAAGACACTGAATATGTATGTTTCACATTTTTACTCTGCATTTGCTCTTTGCAATCCTAATTTATTTCCAGCATTGTGCAAAAGAATAAATACATTCGTATTTACAACAAACATAAACTCCCTTTAGGTAGAGCTGTGCACAACTCTACACAATATTGCAGTACATATTGGAACTGAGCCTACAACATACACAGGTCTGTAAATCATTCATCAAATTGTTAAATTTTAAAGACATTTTCAGGGAAATTAAGATTTAAATTTGTTTAAAAAAATTAGCTTGACACATTTTGACAACTAGTTCAACTTTTTTTAATGTAATGACTCAAGTAATGAAATGAGGACTATTAGTTTTATATGGAATGACTATTCAGCATTTACAAGTTTAGTTAATTTTGACTGGCATAACAGAAGCTAATGATAATGTTATAAACAGCAGAGAGTTGTATGAAAGCAATTGATGCATGTCCAAAAGCATTCACAATTTGTTGAAAAGAATGAGAAACTGCTACTAGGTTGTGCACAAATGACTAATTGTTTTGAGAAATGCATTAACTGTTGTGCAAATGTAAATCGTGTAGTGAGAAATGCACCAAAGCGACTGAAAAGAACTGTAAGATAAATGAATATGGCCACTGTGTGAATGCACAGTATAGTTACAATCTTATTGCCACATTATATCGTTATGATAACATAATATATGCCTTCAGTGATTTACTGAAGATAAATACAAAAAAATGGTATAACTACAGCAGTCGCCATCATCTGATCTCAAATGAAGCATGAGATTGTGATGACACAGGATGATGTGTGCAGGTGCTGTAGAGCTGTCCCATTTCTTAGGGATACATTTTGAAGCCCTTCCCCTTCACACTCAGGTTTAAGGGCCAAAGGGAAAGAGAAGGGGTACAAAAATAGAATTGGGTTTGGGCCATAGTAAGTGTATTTATGCACACAGACAATAATCTGCTGTTTTACTCCATAGAACTCCATATAAAAGCCAGAAACATTTTTGCACAACCCTATCTAAAGGGTTAATGCTGCCAACTGAAGATCAACAGTTAAAATGACACATTTTACCGCCTCCCAACAGGGAAATCCATCAACAATCAAGAATGCATGATTATTTGGCGTCATGGCTTTGCAAACAAAAAAATGTCATTATAATGGAAGTCAATAGGGCAAAACAGCCCCCAACATTACGAAAGGGTAATAAACGTGAACAGTACACAAGGGTTAAAGTAGACATTTGTGCATCTCAGAGCAACACTGAACAAATAGAGCAAGCCAATGAATCAATGATCCATTCATATAAAAGCAAAATTCTGAATGAATTAGCCATTTTGAGTGAAACACTTGAATGAAAGACTCACTCAAGAAGACTTGCTGCCTTCTACTGACAGGTTTAGTGCCACATTCATTTATCCATACCAGTCCTAAACCAACTAAAACCAGGACATATCAAACTCAACATTCATTCATTCATCACTCTCCTTTGGCTTAGTCCCTTTATTCCTCATTAGTCGCCACAGCGGAATGAACCGAAAACTTATCCAGCATATATTTTACACAGTGGATGCCCTTTCAACTGCAACCCAGTACTGGGAAACATCCATACACACTCATTCACATACATACACTACAGACAATTTAGCTGATTCAATTCACCTTAGCAGATGTCTTAGGCAAACTGTCAGGCAAACTGGAGCACCCAGAGGAAACCCACGCCAGCACGGGGAGAACATACAAACTCCACACAGAAATGCAAACTGACCTAGCAGAGGCTCGAACCAATGACCTTCTTGCTGTGAGGTGACAATGCTAACCATTGAGCCATCATGTCACCCAACTTCCAACTTTATAATAAAGGGGTTTGTTAGCTTAAGCTTTCATAAAGCACAACCAGGCCCAGATCTTTAGAAATAAAACAAAATTTTATGAAACACACTAATAGTCTAACTCCACAATAAGAAACTTTTATCCCCATCTTCCACCAAATACAGATCGAATAGCTATTGAAGACACCTGTTTTTAGAACCCGAGTTTAATATTTAACACCACTAATCACAGGCTTGTGAGCAAAGCTAACAATGGTTTAAGATAACACAGATAGACTTGGACATTACTCAGACATCCTCGTGTTCAGCTCCCCCACAGAGTTGCAGTCAAACCAGCCGATCTCCATGCACATGATCTTTCTGAAGTAGGTTTTTCGGATGCGCTGGATCTGCCTGGCAGCTGCAGAAACCCAAAACGTGATCTGAAACCGCAGAAAAGCTCATTTAGACTGACAATGTGCAAACCAGATGAGGTTTTGCTATTATAAATATGCACTACTTAAATCAGGGGTGCTCAAACTTGGTCCTGGAGGGCTGGTGTCCTGCAGATTTTAGCTCCAACTTGCCTCAACACAACTGCACAGATGTTATTAGAAAGCCTAGTAAGAGCTTGATTAGCTAGTCCAGGTGTGTCTGATTGGGGTTGGCGTTAAATTCCGACACTGGCTCTCCAGGACTGAAGCTGCGTCCCAAATCACATACTTATGCACTATTCTACGCCATTTTGTAGTATAAATAGTGCAAGTAGTGTGTTCACACTAAAAACTCTAAAAATAATTAGTGCACTTTAATTACCCGGATGATGCACTCATTCAGCCGCTAAAATGAAGTGTGTAATGATGGACACTTCACGCACTCAACGACCGCAGGTTTGCTTACGTAGCGGAAGGGGCGGAGCTATCGGGCGCACATGCTGGATAACTTTATTTATTTTGGATGATGAAAGCAAAATTCTTCTACGAGAGTGATTATAGCGCCTCCCGATGGTGAATGCGGAAATACTAACGGCAGGTATTATTTGATAATTCGGTCGTTTATTCCACTGATTTGGCAACCGTCAAACGTCATTAGGAAAACGGTTTGAGTTTCCGCTTAGTAAAAAAACATTAGTGTGCCATTTGGGACGACACTACATACATATACTATACTGTTGGGTGTGTAAGTGCATAAGTACATAGTGCATGAGTGCATAGTGTATAGTGTACCATTTGGGACGCAGCTTGAGTTTGGGCACCTCTGACTTGAACCCATGGATAAAGCAGATGCACAATAAAATTGCATCTATGATCATAGACAGACATTAACAGTGTTGGGGGTAATGCATTACAAGTAACGTGAATCACATAATAAGATTACTTTTTTTAAGTAACGAGTTAAGTAATGCATTACTTAAAAAATTTTTGCAATAATATTTGAGTTACCTTTTTACAAATGAGAGTTACTTTTGGTAATGAGAGTTACATTGTAGTTTAATTAATTAGCTTTTACAATTAAATTGCTGAGTTAAAATTAACATAGTCACTCAATGAGAGAATGTGATCTTCATGGGAACAGACAGAAGCCAAGATGGCAGGCCAGAGCAATACTTACCATAAAAATAACCAAGTAATGCAACTAGTACTTTTTGAGGAGTGACTCAATATTGTAATGCATTACTTGTAATGTCTTACTAGGTGTACTTGAAACATCCAGGCAGGTGTGTTAAGGCAAGTTGGAGCTAAACCCTGCAGGAAAACCGGCCCTCCAGGATTGAGATTGGTGACCCCAGTTCTAAAGTAACTTTCCCCAACACTGGTAATTATTATCAGACCGGTCTGTCCTTTGAATTATCACGTGCAATAAAGCCTCAAACAAAACAAGAACTTTTCTTACCTGAAAGAAACTCAAGATTAAAACTCCAACTCCAATTCCAATGTAGTAAAGTGCAAAATTGGTCATTTCAGCCTCGATATCTACACTGTGGAGACAGAGCAGAAATATTTACAGACATAGTGACTTTATGTGTTATATTTAGAGGAAACATATGCAAAAATTGAAATAAGTATATATTCAATGTTTTAATACATCCTTCTGCTCTTTTCTAAAACCCATTCAGTAACTTCTGGAAACAATTAAAAAACAAACAAACAAACAAACAAACAAACAAACAAACTAACTAACTAACTAACTAACTAACTAACTAACTAACTAACTAACTAACTAACTAACTAACTAACTAACTAACTAATTAATTAATTAATTAATTAATTAATTAATTATTTATTTATTTATTAAATCTGATTATTTAAATCTGATGAAATATCTGAAAATATCAATACATTTAAATAACCTATAGATTGGGGTGGACACTTTTGTAGACGGGTTTGTAGGTCTTCACTCACCCACAGTATATGGTGGTGTTGTCAGGCCGTTGGACTGCAGAACCGTTCATCCAGCTGATGGTGTTGTTGATGCAGGTTTTGTTGGGGTCTGTGAGCTCCAGAATTTCCACCTCATACTCCACGAATGTGTTGGTCATCATGCCGTACACCAGCAACATGAGAGGGGTGGCAGCACCGTGAACCAGAGAGCAAAAGCTGCCCACAACCATCATCAAGACTTCCCTCCATGTGGAGAAGCGGAACTGGACATTACAAGGGGAAAAAAGTATTAGATTTTACTTTTTTCGCTCTTTCGTTCAATATTTTTTCCTTCGGCTTAGTTCTGATTTATATATATATATATATATATATATATATATATATATATATATATATATATATATATATATATATATATATATATATTTTTTTTTTTAAACATTAAACTATTTTTTTTATTTCATTAACATTATTTATTTTAATTATTTTCAATTATTCTGAAATGGTTATTTTCTTTCTTTCATTTATTTTCCTTCAGCTTAGCCTCTGATTTATCAGGGGTCGCCACAGCAGAAAAAAAACGCCAACTATTCCAGCATATGTTTTACACTGCGGATGCCCTTCCAGTTGCAACCCAGCACTGGGAATCATCCATACACTTTCACATTTACACACACTTATACACTATAGCCAATTTAGTTCATCGAATTCACCTATAGCGCATGTCTTTGAACTGTGGGGGAAACCGGAGCAACCGGAGGAAACCTACACCAACAATGGGGAGAACATGCAAACTCCACACAGAAATGCCAACTGACCCAGCCAGGACTCAAACCAGCAATCTTCTTGCTGTGAGGCGACAGTGCTAAACACTGAGCCACCGTCCCGCCAATGTCAGTTTTTTTTTTTTAAGTAAAAACATCAGTGGTTTTCATTTTAAGCACCCCAGAACAGTTATAATTTCATGCATAATAAATAAATTAGCATTTACTCCTCTTAAAATTTGGTAAAAATTGCTATTTGTGAGTGACAGATCATTTACAATAAATAAATGTACATACAATACATAATACTACTATAATACCTACTACTATGAAACAAACATTACTACTTTTTATAAACATACACACTTATTTATTTAACTACATACTTTACATAACAACAACAGCTGCACATATAGCGTATAGTAATATACCTGTACATACTAGGCATGGGCCGGTTAAAGATTCTGATGGTATGATAACCTTGGATAAAAATATCACAGTTTCACGCTATTGTGATTACTGATTCTTAATTGGTTTCAAAAACACAGATTTCTTCACAATTTAAAACGGTATCTTTGGATATCTTTTCTGCTGGAGATAATGCTGTCCTAAAAAACTAAAATAAATAATTCAATAAAAAATCTCACACACCTTAGGAACGATATAGCATAAAAAATTGGCGGTTTTAAAACTTAGACTTTTCTAAACCACGGTATACCTTGAAAACGGTTATCGTCCCATGCCTAGTACATACACTTGCCACTGTCAGTGTGTATATTTGCATTCACCAGGCCCGAATTGGCTTATCGGGAGGACCAGGAGAATTCCTGGTGGGCCGGTCTGTTTTTTGGCCACGAGGGCCTGTGTCCCTAGCTGCTTGCACTCTCAGCAGTCGCACTTTTTAAAAAAAAAATTATTTATTTGACCATAACCTCACTCTTTTTATTCATTATTTTGCAGCAGCTCCGCTCTTATTTATTTTCTCACAGCCCCGTGAGCAAAATGCAGCCTGCAGGTTAATGATGATGTAACTATCATTCGACCCCAAACAGCGGCACCTTAGTGACAATAAGAATTCGAAAAATTAATATTAATGAATATTTCACCTGCTCAATGAAAATCAGACGATTCACTACATAATAAATCTGACATGACTTGATCAGAAATCTAAAATAGGGGAGAAAAAGATTAAGCCATCAATAGAAAGCAATACTGTGGTTAAGGGTCTTGCAGGTCTTGAATTTTTTATTTCAGCTGCACCAATGTAATAGCACCATGGTGGTCCAGTGGTTAGCACGTCATGTTACGACGCCACCAACCCGTGTTCGAACCTCACCTGAGTGATATATATATATATTATATTTTATTTTCATTGTTAAGACATATAATACTGTTAGGGTTGTTGAACATTGGAAGTTCTAATGCAGCTGTTTTCTTGAAAAAGAGGTGATAGTGTCATTAGAACCTGAATTGGAAATGACCTTATTTTAATATAGTCAGTCTGAGGTGGGCCGGTGTAAGGCTTGAAACTCCAGGGCTGAAGGAGTCCCACTCCAGCCTTGGCATTCACTACTTCTATTTTTATTAAATATATTTATTATCTGTTTTATATCCTGTCTTTGTCATTCTGTTGCACTGTAGAAGCTCTGTCACCAAAACAAATTCCTCGAATGTATGAACATACCTGGCAATAAAGCATATGTCTTACGCAGCGGATATCCATCACAGGGAAACACCCATACAGTCTTGCATTCACACACATACACTAGGGCCAATTTAGTTTATCCAATTCACCTATACTGCATGTCTTTGGACTGTGAGGGAAACCGGAGCATCCGGAGAAACCCACACCAACACAGGGAGAACATGCAAACTCCACTCAGAAACGCCAATTGGCCTAGCCAGAACTCAAACCAGTGACCTTTTTGCTGCCCAACTTCAGTTGTTAAAAACATTCAGTTAATAATTTAATATTTTGATCCAGGTAACGAAAAAACGTCGTAGAGTACTACTGAGATGCTTACCAGCTGAAAGAATCCGACAGTCGGTGCTTTCTCTTTTTTTTTGACTTCACCATTCCTTCAAACACAGAAATATTTTAGAAACTGTAGCTGTAGTGAAACCTAAATCAGATTATTATTGATATTTTGGTCAAGCTAAAATAGATTTTTACAAATTTACTGTTATATTAGTGCTGTCAAATGATTAATCACAATTAATCAAATTCAAATTTAAAGCTTGTATTTACTGTGTATATATATATATATATATATATATATATATATATATATATATATATATATATATATATATATATATATATATATATATACAGTTCTGTCTGGTTTTAGAATCTGATTGGTTGATAGCCGAGATATATTCTGCAATAACAGCACTCATACATCCTCTTCACCCTTTTGTTTCACTCCACCTGCAGAGAGTGGCAGCAGATCAATAGACTCACTACAGTTTGACAAATAATGCAGCTGTTGGACAACATAATGTACTTTTGAGGCTTTTTTTAGTCGAGACTGTAGTTGTTTAGATTACAACTATGCAGTTTATTTATAAGAAAAGTGATATTTTAAATATTTATAATTTCCAAGAGACAGCGCATCGGCGGCCATCAGCCTGTCATTGAACAGAGACTACATAATAAGTCCTTGGGGGAGAAAAATGACATTTTGACAAAAAACTGACAAAAAAACATTTTCTTATTGTATTTCAAACTACAGCTGATCAAATCATTATAAAACAGGTATCAAAAACCTGTACATTATATAACAGGTATAAAAAAGGAGATCAAGCTTTCTCTGTTGTAGGTCCGAAAACATGGATTGGCCTACCTATGTCCATTAGAACAATTTTCAATGAATCTTTGTTCAGAGGAAAACTTAAATTACACCTTCTAGAAAAAGCTTTTACATTTGGAGAAAATTTATCTTGTTGTACCTATCTGGTGTCTTGTTATTTACCGTTGATGCTGTGTGTTATGCTGGATGTGTTCTATGTTGTTTTATCTGTTGCTGTATATGATAATAATAATTTGATAATTTGCTTTTAGGTTTGTACAGCACAATGGCCAACAACTGTTGTTTTATTGCGCTTTATAAATAAACTAACTAACTAACTAGGTAAGTGATATTCTAAGTCGATCTCTCTATTTTGTATGTTGTAGTGCTGTATTTATCCTATAGAAATCTGGTAGTGTTTGCTTTGCTTTGGTTTTTTTTAGGTTAATTATTGTGATCTCCTGATTACAACAGAGAAATACAGGGAAATCTCTGTAGACTGTTGGCATTTCATGCTGTTCAGCCTTATAATCTTAAAATGTGAGCAAAATCACCTGTTTTGGCATGACTTCAGACATTACACTAGAGCAGCATTTAAATATGAATCATTCAAAGTGAATGGCGAAAGAAAGTAGTCCCTAATACGAAAGGATTTTTGAGACTCTCAGTGTTTGATTTTCTTTTTTATATACACGATTATGTCATCAAACTGTTGTATAAACGCAATATCACATGAGTAGCAGTGCAATATGGCTGTATATCAGCACTGGTGGGACACTAACTGTGCGTTCACACTGAAATCGATGAAAACGTCCAAGGTCGCTCTGGCCGCCCTGGCGACAATGCTGTCTGCCTTCAGCTCCGGCAGCGAGAGTGTCAGAATTCGCTACATTGATCTCGTATTTGAAGGAGCCGTTGCAGCATATTATATCAGTCACATTCCCGCATAAAACATGTTTTCTATCGTGAAGATGTTGCGCATTTCTTATCAAATTCATTTAACAATGGAAGATCAAGTTGCGTGTAGTGTGGCTTTGCTCCACTAAATTATCCAATGTGTCCTTAAGTCTGAAATATCCTGAAGCAGCAATACTGTTTTGTACTGTTGCATGAGATTTCCGCTTAGATAAATATATATAAAATTAATGCACATCAGTAACGCGCCAGAAACTTATTTAATGCATGTTCCTGTAATAAAACATTGGAAATAATTGGAAATCCAGCGACCGCAATCATCAAACCCTTGGAAACAACTGTGGTCAGAACCAAAGTTCACAGGTCTGTGATCTCTTTACTCCTCTCAAGCGGTGGGCTTCTTCATTCTGATTGTGCTGCCGCACCGCGTCAAAGCTCATTACCATAAAGTTGACTTGATTTCAACTCACCTCGACGCCCACACCGGCGAAGACGCGCCATGCTGCTCCTCGCCGCCGACTCCTATTGAAAATAAATGACTTTCGGCTACTTTGACGCTCTCGCCGTTTTTGGTGTGAACGTACGATAAGGCACTCGACCTATGCCATCGAGAAAATGCACACCTCCCACCAGTGCCAATATACAGCTATTTTGCAGCGCTACTCATTTGATATTGCTCATATATAGAGATAATATTATAAATTAAATATTTATGTCAAATTCAAATAATTTACAACTATAGATGTAAATATTTTGTTTTTGTATTTTCTACTTTTTTGTATTTTATATTAATTTATTTAATAATAAAACAATAAATATTTACACACAGTGATTACACCCATTATGTAAATACAAACCTTCATTTTGGATGCGATTAATTGCAATCATCTGACAATAGCTTGGTTTCCATCCAAAAACGCAAATGAACTTTATGCGCAAACTGGATTGTCGCATAAAAGACATGCGAATACAGCAGTGTTTCCATCCAACGAGCCAAAGAGAACAAAAATCGTCACTTCCTCATTAACTGGCGCCAAATATCAACAGTAAAAACTGAATTTGCTGCGGTAGGAGATGCTGCGTCAATCTTTTCTTCATTTATTAAATGACTTGTGAAACGAAGCTAATGACAATTTGACATGATCGTCTAATCATTTGACAGCATTAAATTATATAAACAATTATTAATAGCATGAATTAATTTATGACAAATAATTCAATGAATCACTAAAATGCATTCTGAATCTGAACAATAACTTTGTTCCAGTGAATCAAACATATAATATCTGCACAAATAAAAAATGTATATAATGCTCTTTTTGAAAGCTCTTTTAGTAGTTTATTTGTCATAATATGCATATATATAATACAGATTAATAATAACAAAATCAGTAAACAAAAGTACTTACTTTAGGTCAGCATCTGAAATGTGAAACATGTGTGACAGAATATTAATTTCACTCAGTTCACTTAGTTTTTAATTACATACCTCAATTGTGAGCATTTATAAAGCATCTTTAGTGCAATCAAAATATATAATATTAATACCTTCAGCGTTGTATATGACTTCGCTGTCCTCTGGAGAGTTTCCACTTTTATTCTTCATCATTCTTCTCTGTTAGTTTGCATCTGAAATGTGATTTTCGGCAAGAAATGATTGCCCTTTTAGTGAAAAACTTTAATCTGATCTGTAATACATTATACACAAGTAAGCAATTCTGAAATGTTTTTTTTATTATTTTACTTATTCACTTCATCTGTGTGTTGAAGCAACCTTTCCCCTGCTTTATTATTCTGCCACTTCATTCATATTCCTTCGGCTTAGTCCCTTATTTATCAGCGGTAACCACAGCGGAATGAACCATTAACTAATCGGGCATATGTATTTTATGCTGTTGATGCCTTTCCAGCTGCAACTCAGTACTGGGAAACACTCATACACTCTCTCATTCACACACATACACTGAAGCCAATTCACCTAAAGTGCATGTCTTTGGACAGTGGAGGAGCCAACATGGGGAGAACATGCAAACACGCAGAAATGCCAACTGACCCAGCCAAGACTCGAACCAGACACGTTCTTGCTGTGAGGCGACAGTTACAACCGCTGAGCCACCGTGCTGCCTTATTCTGTTTACTGAATATTCAAAAACATTTTTAAATGATTACAGGGTTGTCCCTTTTTCGAAGTTACTTTAAGCACTTTCCAGGTACATGTTTAAACATTTGCAGAACTTTGCAAGTGTGGAAAATTACATATTTACATACAGTAGTTCATCACACTTCAATAAGTCATCTTTCATCTGCAATTTACAGTTGAAGTCAGAATTATTCGCCCCCCCCCTATTTATTTTTCCCCAATTTCTGTTTAACGGAGAGCAGATTTTATCAACACATTTCTAATTATAATTATTTTAATAACTCATGTCTAATAACTGATTTATTTTATCTTTACCAAGATGACAGTAAATAATATTTGACTATATATATTTTTAAGACACTTCTATACAGCTTGAAGTGACATTTAAAGGCTTAACTAGGCTAATTAGGTTAACTAGGCAGGTTAGGGTAATTAGGCAAGTTATTGTATAACAATGTTTGTTCTGTGGACTATCGAAAAAAATATAGCTTAAAGTGGCTAACAATACTGTCATTAAAATGGTGTTTAAATTAAAAACTGCATTTATTCTAGCCAAAATAAAACAAGAGTTTCTTCAGAAAAAAAATAGCATCAGACACACTGTGAAAATGTCCTTGCTCTGTTAAACAGCATTTGTCAAATGTTTAAAAATGATAATGAGAAATATTTCCTTGGTAAATGTCTGGAATTCAAATTGCCAAATTTAATTGAGATCCTTTGTTACTTGCTGTTTCGTTGTAAAGGACTGTAAACTTTACATGCAACTTTAAAGATAAATGGTTACATTAACATTGTCTATGTAAAGTTTACTTTTAAAAACTGTTTTTAAATGTATTTGGATATATTTAATATGTTTAATTTATTAAGGTTAAAATAAAAAATAATAATCAAAAATATTTCAGTAACAGCTCATTTTCATATGTGATTCATCAAATTCATCACATTTAATTCATTGTTATTTGTTATTAATTCATTGTCCTTTTTATAATCTTTTCATTGAACTGTAACAAAAATGCAACAACATAATACAACACAACTGTATTTACATGTTTTAATTTAAAAAGAAAAACAAACAAACAAGAAAAATTTGTGATATTAAAAAGAATAAATAGATTTCAATTAGAAATAGAAAAGTTTAGGGTCAGTTTTTTCTATATTTTTGCATGTTTTTAAAGAAAAGTATTCTGTTCATCAGAGCGGCATTTATTAAATGTAAAAACAATGTTAAATTGTTTATTATTTAACATTGTTTTATATTTATTAACCTTTTTTTAAATAATATTTATTAACCTTTTTAATAACTGCTTTCTATTTTTATGTAGATTTTAAATAAAATTATTACTCCAGACATTATCACTTTTACCATTAATAATAATAATAATAATAATAATAATAATAATAATAATAATAATAATAATAATAATAATAATAATAATAAATATTAGAGTGATTTTTGAAGGATCATGTGACTCTGAAGACTGGAGTAATGAAGCTGAAAATTCATCATTAAAATCACTGGAATGAATGATTAAATTAAATCATTAACTGGTCACACTTTACAATAAGGTTCATTAGTTAATGTTACTTAATGCATTTACTAACATGAACAAACAATGAACAATACATTTACTACTGTATTTGTTCATGTTAGTTAACGTTAGTTAATGAAAATACAGTAGTACATTGTGAGCATGTTAACTCACGGTGCATTAACTAATGTTAACAAGCATGATTTTAGATGGTAATAATGCATTAGTAAATGTTCAATTATGATTAATAAATGCTGTACAAATGTTGTTCATGATTAGTTCATGTTAGTATATGCATTAACTAATGAACCGTATTGTAAAGTGTTACCAGTTAATGATTTAATTTAATCATTCATTCCAGTGATTTTAATGATGAATTTTCAGCTTCATTACTCCAGTCTTCAGAGTCACATGATCCTTCAAAAATCACTCTAATATTTATTATTATTATTATTATTATTAATGGTTATTAACTACTATTGAACAGTTATCTTATAGTGCAAAAACATTTCACAATGTGTAGTGTATTTTTGATTAAATAAATGCAGCCTTGTTAAACAGGAGAAGCTTATTTTAAAATCCGTCTGACCCCAAACCTTTGACCTGTTGTGTGTATACATGGTTTAGTATAAATCTCAAGTTTTTTTTTTTTTTTTTTTTTTTTCACTTTTGCCATTTAAACTAAATGATAATTAGAAATATTTCTTGGTAAATGTCTGAAATTCTAATTTACAAATTTAATGTGGATCCTCTGTTACTTGCTGTTTTGTTGTAAATGACTGTAAACTTTACATGCAACTTTGAAGTAGATAAATGGTTACATTAAAATAGTCTATGTAAAGTTTACTTTTAATAACTGTTTTTAAATGTATCTGGATATACTTTATATGTTTAATTCATTTTATTGACGTTAAAACGAAATGATAGTCAGAAATATTTCAATAACAGCTAGTTAAAAAGCTTATTTTTAATATTGAAAGAAAATCTCAATTAATTCATTGTTATTTGTCATTAATTCATCCTTTTTATAATCTTTTCATTGAAATGTAACAAAAATATCACAACGTAATAAAACACCGCTGTATTTACATGTTTTCATTTGAAAAGAAAAACAAACAAACAAATAAAATGGTGATAATAATTATGACGAAAGAGATTTGTTTTGGAGCTACTCAAAACTTAATCTCTACCCTAGAGCTTTTTTTTTTGTATCTAACTCTATTACTTTTTTCAGAAATTGTTCACATTTATATGTGAACTGTACGCAAAAAAAAATCCAGACTTCATGTTTTAAAAATAAAAGCTTTATAAAACACTGCTCATGATCCCAATTTACAATCACACCATTTAAATGTAACCACTTTTATAATCTATAAATCTACATGACATAAAAGAAACACTAAGAATATATTTCAGTCAAGGAAAGTAGATACCTGTGGAGATGATCTGCTCTGGCTGGCGTGGGTCTCCGCTATCAGTCAGTTCTTCCGCAACTCCAGCATTATATATCTTCCCCTTTATTAGACTGATAACACTTTACCTGATTTCAGCCTGACAGGTCAAGGTGTGCTCAGGCTGTCCTTCACAATAAACACAGCATTCAGAGGAGTCTGAGGACACTGTAGGTGAACAGGGGGAAAGAAATATATAACAACGATAGTTAATCATCATATTTATCCAGTGGGCATTGTTTTCAATTTTACATTGTCCTGTTTTTTGGGCAGTATGTAGTTGTATGTTGTTATATTTTGCACTGTCTGTATGTTGTTTTTGCACTGTCTGTATTTTATAGCACACGTGCTGCTGATGATGTGACAATAAAAGTGATTTGATTTGACTGATTATGTTAAGAATTGCAAGCCATTTTTTTTGTATTGTAAGCTTTTGGAAACATATTTTTTAATAAGTAAATGAGGGAGTATTTAAATAAATATGAGCTAATTTGCATTTAACGTTCCAGCACTGAATCAAATCAGGTTCAACAGTGTTTATCTTTTTTAAAGGGGGACATATTTACATACACTATAACACTATGTGTTCAATAATATATATGTGTATCAAAGTCAAACTGAAAACATTCTAACAAAAATATAAGTATAGAATATAATGTAAAAATATAATATATAATAAATAAAAGTTCATAGCCCAAAATGGTAAAGCATTTTAATAAATATGCTAGGAGAAAATATTTTTAATAAAGAGGAGACATCAAAAGAATAACAAAAATGTAATGTTATTCATTAATTTATTTTCTTTTCGGCCTAGTCCCTTAATTAATCTGGGGTCGCCACAGCGGAATGAACCGCCAACTTATCCAACATATGTTTTACGCAGTAGATGCGTATAGCGCATGTTTTTGGACTTGTGGGGGAAACTAGTGTACCCAGAGGAAAACCACGCACTCAAAAAAATCAACTAGGCATGTATTGGATTTACAAAAGAAAAATTTGCCAGATTGAAAAGAACAAATCAAGTTTACATATGTTAAATGATTAATTCATGTTATTTGAAACTGAATCAAGAAATAATCAAATGAATTTGATCAGAACATGTTGATTCAATGAGACTGAGACGCTTCAAATCGTCAACTCTCACTCTGGAGAGTCACTTCGCGGATATCAGTAGGTGGCGGTAGTGCGTTTGGATGTCACCATACAAAAACAACAAGAAGAAATATCAACGCATGTTTTTAGCACAAATGTGAATGTTTTGATTTTGCTAATTCATATTTGTTAAATATTTAATACTAAAATATTGTCACGCAATGTTACTGTATTTGTTGGTTTGTTTTTATTAGGCCAAGGTTTGCCTTACATATTCCCAATAAGACTAGTGTCCTAAAGCATAGTTTGGGAATTGGTTTTCCCAAGAGTTTGAATGTTATGCATGTTATGTTGTTGGCAATATGTTTCCTATACATTTTATACTTTTACATTTTGAATAGGAGTACCAAAGTGAAGAAAGCTGTTTAAACTCAATTGGTAAAAAAAAATTATGTTAACGTCCTACAGGTATTGCTTGGGGATCAGTTTTCTTAAGAGCCAAGGTTATTTTGTTGGCTAAATGTTTCTTATACATTTTATATTACATATTACAATTTTGGATACTATATAATATTTTGTATCAGAATATTAAAGAAGAAATTTGTTTAAATGTGACTGGTGCCTATAATAAGGCTATAATAAAAGAAATATATATATATATATATATATATATATATATATATATATATATATATATATATATATATATATATATATATAACATGTTTTCTGTCCTTTTTGTGTTGAATTACTTAATTTTAAATCTTGCTTCATAGTATTGTCATTTAAAAAATGCCATTTAAACAACAATATTGAACAAGAAATTTACTAGCTGATTTAACAAGAGATAGTTTAGTTAAAGTAAAGCTTTAGTGTTACATTGAGTAAATTAGAATCATTTTAATTAGAATAACACAATACAAACATTTTGAGTCAATTAGTTGCAAAGAAGTTAGACTGACATATTGAAACCATGTTTTATCTAAAAATGTGCTTTGTGTTCATACAACATGTTCAAAGCAGTTCAGGTTTACTTGATTGGATTAGATGCATAAAGGGTGCCACGATTAAATCATGTTCATTCAACAATTTTTTTTTGAGTGCACGAACACAGGGAGAACATGCAAACTCCACACAGAAATGCCAACTGACCCAGCCGAGGCTCGAACTAACTACCTTCTTGCTGTGAGGCAACAGCGCTATCCAATATAGTGTTACAATAAATATAAAGGCATTACAAATATTAAGTAATTTCATTAGTGAATTCAACCTCATTTGAATTTAAATATATTTTCTTTCTATCCCTAAATATGGCCACACTTTTAATTTAAAGGGCACCTATTTTACCCCTTTTTCAATATTTAAGAGAAGTCTTTAGTGTCTCCAGAATGTGTCCCATCAGAAACACCCATCATATTATTTATTATACCTTAAAGAATGTTGAGATTTTCTGCTCTGAACACTATGGGCCCTATCATACACCCGGCGCAATGTGGGTGTCGTTTTGAGGCGTTGCGCTACGCTGTTTAAATAGCAAATGCATTAGCGCTCATATGTGCACCCATAGGCGTTCTGGTCTAAAAAGAAAGACGTTCTGAGGCGGACCGCTGGCGCGTGGCTATTTTGAGAAAATATAATAGATTTTTCATTAGACCAAAACAAACCCGGTCTAAACTCTGACGTAGAGTTGCGCCTCGCTTACACACTGCTTAATACACAAAAGAGAGCAATAGGCAAATATCTTTACATATGAAAAAAATTTAATATTAAGGATATATATAGGATATAATAAGAATAGATATAGGATATAAATATAAAGGATTAAAATATTACAAAACATTATTTTCTAGCCTACATAAATATAAAAAATCACTGCTTTTATGTCTTCTTCATCTGGGGAGGCTTTTTCAGTTCATTCATAACAATTTGCTTTTGTATAATGTTATTATTATTAGCAGTATTGTTTATTATATCCATGTTTATATTTGTTTTATTAAAAACAAGCTTAGATTTGCCCACCTGTCAGGTTTTAGACCATATGGGGCACAGCATGTGTTTTAGGATATAACTCAGGTTTTTGAGCACACTTCGTTATTATTGTTCATTAATTCGTTTGCTGGAAATTAGAACTGAATTTAGAAATAGTTTTGAGACGAATATTTGTGCTTAACAATTTGTCATTTATAAGGCATTTATAAAGCATAAATAGTCCTCACTTTAGATTAGGTCACAAAACTAGATGAAGTGGAGTTAATAAAGCATTTAATAACATACATAGTAACCATTAATATATGTCTTAATAATAAGACATATAAACGTTAATTTCAATAGTTAATTAATCATTCACTAACTCATTCTGAATGATCCTAAAAACCCTCAACTACTCTTAAATACAAATGGTTTGTAAATAATGCAATACTTAATTTAGAAATGAAAAATAAATCATTAACAAAGTATGAAAGTACAATTATTAAGCACATTTGAAATATGTTTGTAAGTCAAGAATAGAGCATTTGTAGCTGCCGTTATAAACTGTTACTAATGTTTATTAATGTAGAGTTAATGCTTAACAGATAATGAATTCAGTATTTGCTAATGCTTATTTGATGATTTATAGTGTGTAGTTAAAACACTGTTAAAATTTTAAGTTTATGACAAAAAATACCCTCTTTTAAATGTCTTTAAAATGAAATAACTTAACATTAACATAGGAGGATAAATGCTCATTTTCGATTGAAATTTCAGACGGCACTTAGAGGTTTTTGCATCTGAACATTTCAAATGTAAAAAGTGCATTCGGTATGTTTTCTTTACATTTGATGAAAAGAATAATAATTATGAAAAGCCAAACATCTGTAAACTGACAGTTGTGCTTCACCTGAACAGAGTGAATGAGTACCTCGTATTATCAGTCACTGATTAAATCACACCGAGTTCATGGATGATTATTAACGTCATCTCATAGACGACATCAGTTATAAATTGAGTTGAATGACCGCTGGGTGTTTGCTTGTTCCTAATATGTAAAAAATTAAGAATTAAGTAAAAAATCTGGGTAACACTTTATTGTGATGGTCCATTTGAGTATTAGTAGACTGTCTGCTTACTATCTGTTGATACTGCTCCTTCAACAGACATTTTACTGACTACAAGAAACTTTGAAAGTACATGTCAACTTACACTAACCCCAACCCTAACCTAACAGTCTACTTATAATCTAATGAGAATTAGTTGGATGCAATGTAACTTAAATTCACCAAACGAACCATCAAAATAAAGTGAACAAAAAAGAGATATACTTTTTAATGGTAAAAGGTTGTAGAAATCACTTTCATTAGTCCCTCTACCTCTTATTTAATCATCTATATTACTTGTTTCTTTCTGTGCATGTAATTGTTCAATGTACGATGATTATGTAAGATTCCATTCTATCAGCCCAACTACAGAATCCGATCAATGGTCAAAGGTTAAATAAGCCTTTTAAGTGCTTCTGAAAATAATCGGGTTATTTTTCAAGATTTATAAATATTTGTTTTCAACTATAGATTCAATCTGACTTCAAATTTATGTGACGGTCAAATTTAGTTTGAATTTCTAATTAGGAACGGGTCACATTTGTGGTTCATAAATCATTTTAGTGTTTTGAATTATATCTGATTCCATACTCTTCAGTTATACGTCCATTAGGGATCTAGTGCCGCAGAGTTTTCACACCCCAGAGTTTATGCGTCACAGACAGGATCTCAACATTCTAAAGTTAGTCAGAGGATGCAGGGTTAACTAATATCCAATTAGGCTGGTTGCCTCCTGCTCAGTCGAACTGAAAGTGTCATTTCCATACAACTAAATCAGCGAGAACCAGAAATCGAATAGTCTCCGAGCTGAAGTGCTGACTGCTCCAAACGGTCTTGTGCGATTCGTTTGGGTATCATGTAAACGGATCAAGGGTGCACCAGCCTCCACATAATCTACTGAATATAAAAGATTTCAGAAGAATTCAGAACGCATCAAAACCTAACGCTTTATTTTCCAGATGAAAGTGTATCAGGCCAATTACTGAATCAAACAATGAAAGT